GGAAGCGAGTTGTGCCTTGTGTTCCATGCAAAGCATTGCTTCTTCGCCACCCTATGCCACAAAAGGCTGGCCGGTCGCTTCTGCTGCCGATCCTGTTGCCCCTCTTGCTGCTGCTGCTGCTGCTGCTGCCGCTCCTGCTGCCGCCTTGCCCCATGTGGGTAGAGGTGCTCCCAGTGCCGCTGCTGCGGGCAGTCTGGGCTGGCATTGACGCTCAGACGGCCTGGGAACACCGCTTGGGGCAGGCAATGGAACTCCGCGAGTGAGGCGATTCGCTGAATCTGGACGCTTCCATCCGGCAGCCGCCCCGTGCTCATGTGGTGGCTGGGAGGATTAGCGACCGCCATGGATGGGAGGATGGGTGGGTGTGTGACTCGAGTTATGGGGGATTTGAGTCAGATCTGAAGCAGAATCGCGAGGAGAAAGCCTTAAGAAGCAGTCGCGTTGAAACAGAGAGCGGTGCCACGAACGAGTAGATGCAGGCTGCAAAGGAGCGACTGAAAGAGAGACGCTAGACTGAGAGTGGTCTACGAGTCCAAAGCGAGAGTCGAGGGGGGTAGTAGAGGCTGCGAGACTGGAGCATTGAAGGCCACGGTTTTGTGACTGCTCAGGAGACATCATTATATACCGTCGAGAGTGGGGCTATCAGTGACACTACACGAGTAGAAGCTTTCACACGTCGCCAAAGCGGGCTGTGGGAGTGAAGAGCGCAGGGCGCAACTTGGGGTTGCGGGCGGTGGCGGGCGGACGCTAGTGCCTGCGCAGAGGGATTTCTGGAACATGGAGCTGCAGGGCGGTGGGGGAAGAGAAGGGGGGAGAAGAGAGACGGGAAGGAGAAGGGGGAGAAGAGGAGAAAAGAGGAGGGGGGAAAGCTCGCCGGGGGGGGGGGGGGGGGGGGGGGGAGAATAGAGAGGAGAGGGGGACAGGCCGAGTGGGAGCGAGCGGAATCTGCGCTAGCAGACGAGAATGGAGGATGGCGCAGATTGATATCGGAGTGGGGGAGGGATGGGCAGATCGGGGCGATCACTGAGTGATTAGTCAATCAATGATTCGGGGATCGGGTCACCCTTACAGCTTCCCAATCTGCACTTCCCCGAACAGAAGCTCCCGCAAACACGCGTTTTCGGGATAAGAAAGTCCGGGAAAGACTTGGGATTGGGAGGAAGCGGAGGAAGGGGAGCCAGCCTGGCAGAGCTTCGCCAATCCGATTGGCCAATCGCCAGTGAGTAAAGATCCTCGGAAAACATTGCAAGATGCTGCCAGAGCTTCGCCACTCGCTCTGGATTCTACGGCGGGAAATTAAGCCGTGCCAGCGTGACGGCAGGGTGCAGCGGGGAAATATCAGCGCAATGTATATCGGATCCGCAACAGCTTGCGAGACGGAGCGGCCATGTTGCAAGCGGTGGCAGCATGTGACAGCAACTCGCAGATTGCTCAACAGAAAATTTTCGAAAAACAGCGTGGTCCAGCAGGACAGGACAAGTCACAAGACGCGGAGGAGATTTATACCGAGTGGGAGCGGTTTGTTCGCTCTAGACGTATGGGCAGCATACCCGTTATGAAAATTCTCACGCATCTGTACTGCGCCTTGCGCGATTTGGGTCTGGCGGTCAGTACTGTAATCGCATTAGTAGGAGTGGAGGAGTCCCGTTCGGCCGAGCACCGTGCTTGCTCGAGCGACAATGGCTGTGCTGAATGGCGAACCGCGAGCCTCGAGACGTTGCTGATCCTCGTGTTCCCTCCCCTCATTCTCTTCCCATCCACAGCCCTAGCGTTTGCGAAGGGCCGATGAGTGCCGTGATTGGCTGATTCCGCCATATCGCGCGTGCTCTCTGCTCGCCGCACGGACGACTGCGCAATCAGGGCCTTGCCTTGCCAAGCAACGCTGCCAGCGATGCGACCGTCCCTCTCGCCTGGCCCGGCGGACCCGGACCTGTGGTGATCCGGTCCGGACATAAAGTATCGTCAGCCAGTCCGTAGCACGGCAAATGTCGAATTCCCCATGATGCCAGACATGATCGCGGCACCTCCAGGAATCAAGCTAGAACGCAACGAGACAGATGATGCTGCCGTGAACCGCAGAACTGTAGCTTCGGCATCATGACGCATGACTCGTGAATCGGTTGATCACTCTATTGATGAGTCAGATGATGCCAGGATTGGTCGCATACCCTTAGCTACAGTGTGCGACGCCAGCTGTCACGGAACAAGTCCCGCACGAGCAGAGAAGAGCGAGGACAAGGCTGTACCCAGTAAGGAAATCGACGCGTTTTCTATATCTGCTGTTCATAACTAGACAAGTAACCGCAAAAAGAGGTCGCAGTGCAATCTTGGTTGCTCGCGAAACCATGCATCGCAAAAAATAACCGTAATAGCGACGAGCTGCGACGAGAGGGTACGAGACAAATCTAGGCAAGACAAGGGTGAGACAGAACATATTACAGCCCGAGATCCAGAAGAGATCACTAGTTTAGAAAGGAGGTATTGGAGATGAGATGATGCCAGGATTGGTCGCATACCCTTAGCTACAGTGTGCGACGCCAGCTGTCACGGAACAAGTCCCGCACGAGCAGAGATGAGCGAGGACAAGGCTGTACCCAGTAAGGAAATCGACGCGTTTTCTATATCTGCTGTTCATAACTAGGGAATTGATCAGACTGGGGCCCCGGGTTAGCAGAAACAGTGCCAACTTGGGGCCTCGTGAGTCGCGACCCTACGAAATAGGCCCGAAGCAAATCACAAGACTGGGCAGCAGGTCCGAACCTGGCAAACTCGCCAGGTCACCACCTACTGCCTTGGGTTTGACGGAAATCGCTAGCACCCCACACCGCTGGAAGCACAACAATCCGTCAAACCAACACAGTCTGATCGAGATACAGCACAAGCAGCATGTAACAAACAACTCGGAATTATTACGGAAACATAAGACTGCCAGAACACAAAGAGCTGAAACATGAAAATTAATAAAATGAGTGGGCACAAAATGGGGAGGTTCATGACCTTTTTCTGTTAGAGAAATTTCAACCAACCTACCCACATTCTTTCAGAATATGTATACATACATATATGATTTACATGCAAGTGCTTCCCTTGTAAAATCTTCGATGAAAAATCTTCTACCGTATTCCCCCGGATATACCACCCTAGGGTGCTATGATAACTACACAAAAAAAAGGGGGGGTCTTGTCATCGGAAAAAGCTTCATTGCACCCGGGTCTTTACATAATGTGTATTTTTTTTATAGCGTAAAACGATTAGTACTAAATGTACATCTGTATTTTTGTTTTACATCTGTACTAAATCGTTTTACGCTATAAAAAAAATACACATTATGTAAAGACCCGGGTGCAATGAAGCTTTTTCCGATGACAAGACCCCCCCTTTTTTTTGTGTAGTTATCATAGCACCCTAGGGTGGTATATCCGGGGGAATACGGTAGAAGATTTTTCATCGAAGATTTTACAAGGGAAGCACTTGCATGTAAATCATATATGTATGTATACATATTCTGAAAGAATGTGGGTAGGTTGGTTGAAATTTCTCTAACAGAAAAAGGTCATGAACCTCCCCATTTTGTGCCCACTCATTTTATTAATTTTCATGTTTCAGCTCTTTGTGTTCTGGCAGTCTTATGTTTCCGTAATAATTCCGAGTTGTTTGTTACATGCTGCTTGTGCTGTATCTCGATCAGACTGTGTTGGTTTGACGGATTGTTGTGCTTCCAGCGGTGTGGGGTGCTAGCGATTTCCGTCAAACCCAAGGCAGTAGGTGGTGACCTGGCGAGTTTGCCAGGTTCGGACCTGCTGCCCAGTCTTGTGATTTGCTTCGGGCCTATTTCGTAGGGTCGCGACTCACGAGGCCCCAAGTTGGCACTGTTTCTGCTAACCCGGGGCCCCAGTCTGATCAATTCCCTCATAACTAGACAAGTAACCGCAAAAAGAGGTCGCAGTGCAATCTTGGTTGCTCGCGAAACCATGCATCGCAAAAAATAACCGTAATAGCGACGAGCTGCGACGAGAGGGTAAGAGACAAATCTAGGCAAGACAAGGGTGAGACAGAACATATTACAGCCCGAGATCCAGAAGAGATCACTAGTTTAGAAAGGAGGTATTGGAGATGAGATTGGAAAGAAACTGAAAATCGCTGTGAGGGAGAAGAAAGGGTTGGAGGCGAAGGCAGGGGGAGACGAATCGCCGGTCTGCGGGGAGGGATGGGGGAAAAGGCGCAGTCTGGTTTTCCCCCAACGAGCTCAGTTTCGCAAAACGGGGGAGACGGGGAGGGGGAGTGAAACGGGGAGGTGGCGCCGCAGACTTTTCCCGCCATATTCGATCGTCGACGAAGGGTGCTGATTGGACACACCGCATGCGTGTTCCTGGCGAACATTGCTTCATTGTAGAGCTTTCGAGGCGAGAGCGAAAGCCTCGTCTACACTCATCAAACTGTTTCCCCAATGAAAGCCGTCCATACAAGATGTAATTCACAAATTAGTTTGCGTACATAATTCACAAAATGCCCCTTACGTTCACAAACGAACTGGCATATTCATATTCTCCAGGTATGCACCAAACACAAGGCATGCTGTTTAAATTAAGCCCTAGGCATTGGGATGGCTACACAAAGCAAAACTAGTAAGAGAAACTGTGAATGTTCTGACAAAAATGTAATTACAACTGGTTTTCATTCTCTTTCTTTTGACAATAAGAATTAGACAGTCATTAATCAAAATCATGTCTAGCCGTGCCAAGGCTCCCGGCGCACATTCCTGCTCATCAGATGTTGGTCCTTTTACCGTATGTCGTTGGTTTCCATCCATCGCGGACGTCTGTTTGAAAATAGACACAATGGGCCTACAGTTCAGTGATCTGAATCAGGCAGGGAGGGATAGATGCATTACAAAACTGTGAACCGCACAAACACAAAACTGTGTACCGCACAAGCACATTGCCAATCCAAATTATACACAATGCAAAACCTTCCCTAGCAAAATTGTATGGCAGGTGCCTTCACGAGGACGCAGTATCCTGTAGTCCCTCATCATCATCAGCACATTGACAAATCCCAGTCGTGTCATGGCCTGGCATGTTTCCTCGCAATGGGAGGATGCCTTGTGCCTTAGAGCAATTCCCCGACATAGAGCAAGCTCGTCGGCCTGCAACAGACCCCCCTTGTGCACCAGGAAAGCCTGGTGGTGGTATGAGAACATCCTCCCGTGTGTGAGAGCTCTCGGAAGGGCTCTTCATTTGCAGCACACAGGTCTCGGTGGATCGAGACAAGGAGCAACTAGCTCCTTCAGCATCACTTTGCAGCTCCTGCTGCTTCTGCTCTGGGGCTTCCAAACGCAGTTTCTTCTTGCCTGTCGTAATAAATTGTGAGTCCTGCCCGCTGTTGTGCCTGTTGCTGGGGCCGCAGACAGCAGAGGCGGCAGGGGCGGAGACAACCTGGCGGTGGAGTTGACGAGCAGGCGAGTTGGAATTCAGAATATTGGCGAAGGATGGAACATGGTAGGCTTGTGCGGGCTGTGTGAAGAAGAGAGGGAAGAGAGAAGGGTCCAGGGCCGGGATGAGGGCAGGGAAGACAGCAGGCGAGACAGCAGGCGAGGTAGCAGGTGGGACGGCTGGAAAGAGGGCAGGTGCGACGGCAGGAGAGACGACAGGCAAAACCGAAGGCGAAACTTTAGGCGAGACAGCCGGAGAGACGGTTGAGAAGTCGGCACAGTCCTTGCAAACCGAGTCACCACCAGACACACCATCACGACAAGCCTCTGCCGGCTGGTTGGCAGGAGTCTCGCCCGTGCACGCCACAGGGCTCAAGCAATTAGGTGACTTTCGAGTCGATTCCAAGGTCACCACGCTGTTCCGTACAAGGGTCTCATCTGTGCACACCTCAGGGCTGCTGCAGCCAGGGAAGACAGCAGCCTGCAGCATGGTGTGACCGGCAGACATAGGGGCTTCAAGTCCGCCACTCCCACCACCACCTGCTGTACCTCCCAGTGCGGAGGGATTGGGCGGATTCCCAGCAGCTGCAAGTACGTATTCCTGGTGCTCTCCTGTCCACCTGCAGAATCGCTTCTTTGCTGCAGCACCGTGATGCCACAGGAGGCTGCCTGGCCGCTTCTGATGCCACTCAACCGGTATGCTCTGGAGGTCGTGAGTCTCCTGCTGCAAGGGCACATGGTGTTCATGCCCGTGACTCCTCGCTGGGTGAACGTCCAAGTGTTGCTGAATATGGCGAACCGCCTCCTCCTCCTCGTCATGCTGCTGCTGCTGCTGCTTCTGCAGCTGTGGCTGGCAGTGCTGGCCAAAGCTCAGGTTCGGAAAAACTGCGCGGGCTTGCTGGTGACCGTAGAGCTGCTCGAGGGTCATAACCCGCCCGCGCTTGGCGCTTAGGAGGCAGCGTGTCTCCACGTGGCAGCTTGGGAATCCAGCAACCGCCATGGATGCATGCAATGCGCTGGCAGGCACCTCAGGAACACGAGTAGAGCTGAGTTGATTCTGTATTAAACCTTTAAAACACTGCTCAGATTAGACGTCTATAGGCTTTGGAAATGGGTCGGACGTGCAAACGAAAGAAGAGTTCAGATCGAGAGAGTGACCCGGTTGCATGAGCTGAAACGGGCGAGGCAGGAGGTTGAACAGGAAAGCACTGAATATCACGATCCTAATTCTGGAGATCCGGGTCCCTTTTATATCCAGCCAGCGTCCACTTGCTGCTGGCGACTGGCCTGTGCCATGTGGACCCATGTCCCCCCGTCCGTCTGTGCCACGTCGGCTGTCCTCTAAAAAGCGAGGCTTCTGGAAGGAGCAGTCGGAATCACGGCAAGATCGAGGCCTCTCGTCTACCGCTGAGCGCGCGCGACAAGTTGTTGGGGGCGGAGGGGAGAGAGGGGGTGGAAGGTTGCGGCGGATGGTGGGGCTTGTAGGGGAACCAAGCCCCCAGGGGGAAGGGGGGAGCGGAAGCGCCGGAAAGGGGACATGTGGGGGGATTTCGCAAAGAGACAGAAACGGGGAATGCGGATTCCTAGAGAGAAGAATGAGCAGAAGGCGAAAAGCAATTTGTGATTGGCACGTCATACAGTATCATACAGTACGATTTCTACTACTGTAGGCACCTTCTTTCCCAGTCAGCTCCTCACAGAGGATGCTTCCACGGAAAAAGAGGGAGGGTATGGAGAGAAAGGAAGTATGATGGCAGAGGAGGAGCGAGTGGATGGGGTAGGCCCCTTGTTCGAGTGTGGCGGAATTTTGTCGAGGTATGTATCATAAAATACAGCGCGACTTTTCACACGCGCCGTGAATGCTATAACTGTGAAGCAAAAGCGAGCCGAAACCTCGCGGCGGCAGCTTGCAGAGGGGTAGGCGTCGGGGGAATCTAGATAGGATCCGTTGCTGACATATGTACCACGTCAGGATGATGCCACAGCAAGGTGCTGCTGAGGTGGCGAGGCAGCATGTGTGGTGAAAGGCCCGCTAAGGACGGACATCATGGCAGCATGTGCATGAATTAACTTCTTTTGTTAACTCACTTACGCTTCAGTTTCTATTGTTGTCGACAATAAACGAGGGACTGCTGACGTGGCAAGGCAGCACTTTCGCCGGAATGACCGATACGGACGCGCATCATGGCACTGTGAGACTGGAATCACACGCGCTCGGAGTGGATAAGAAAGCGGTTTTTTTTTCTACACGTGGGTGTTTTTCGTCCACCATTTCTGCTTCACCTTGTCAAGTACGTACCGTGCGGTACCGTACCGTACCGAATCGTACGTTGACGCGTTGTTGGGCAAACTACCGAGCTATATACGGTTGACATCATCGTGATTGGTGGTGCAGATGCGAGTCGCCAGGTCCTGTCCGTTCAGCCGAACCGCCGTGTCCTCTCCTGTGAGAAAGATTAGCAGGACAGTGTATAGTAGGTACTACTGTGGGCGTATCGTGGAGGTTCTAAACTGTACGATGTGTCGTGGCTTTGATGGCCATTGGCCATCGTCCCCATGTGGAGACAAGCGAATCAGCCACATAAAGTAGCCTTTATCTCAGCCACGACACGCGGAGCAAGCTAAGGTCAGTGGATTGAAGCAGTTTCGTGGTTTTATGGTGCGAAATAAACGAGGGAACTAAATGTGAGCGGCTTGAGAAGGCGAATGCGTTCTCTACCACAAGTGAGAAGATAATCAACTGACAGTTCTGGAGAGCTGGGAAACAGCTTGGAAGCCTGGATCGACGCGGAAGACAAGGGCTGTTCCCTCACGCGCGCTACCATAATCGACAGACACGTCTTTATCCATGCCCATACATCCGTTACTAAACCGAACGACGAAAAGGCGCATACCGCTCTTCATAAAGCGTTAACATGAGGGCGTTGGTGGAGCGTCCCGACGCACGGGAACAGCCGGGGCGTGCTGTCTGGGCTGAACTGGTCTGGTCTCGTCAGTCAACGGTTTTGGGCTGCTCTGATGAGCAGGAAGGAAGGTGTCGATGGGAGGGAAGGGAAGACAGAGAGCCAGCTACAACGAATCGAGCTGGCAGAAGTTGACAGTTTTTGGAGACAGGCGTATGCGTTCCGACTTCCCCCTACAATCGCCTGTCCATTGCGCAGCGCAGATTCGAGCTTGATGGGGGGAAATCAGCGACTCGAAAATGCAAACGTTTTGTGTCCTCGACATGTGTAGACTCGTGATCATTCACAATGGTATTCGATTTCCTCTTCAGCGTCTAAACTTTAGCTTGCAGATAACGAGTGGATGTTTCCACCTGCTGGCACAGTATGCACTCAGTATGCGCCTTCTGGAACACCTAATCATCACACAATAACCAAGGTGCTGGAATCATGGAATGATGCTTTGGGACCTTTAGCTAGCTTGGCTCGAGAGACCTCCCAGGTTCAGATGATCCATTGCAGACACACATGTTCTGCAAGTCAGACAATTCTGACAGAAGCCATGAGAAAGCCCCACATGTTTAAACATTCACTGCATTGCTTTAACCCTGATTTATTTTCACTTTGCTGAGATTTGTCTGTTCAGAAGTGGAGTATGGCACAGCCCCCAAAACCCATCCACACCATAATTCTCCACTATTGTTAGGTACGGACAACGGCAAACCAAGCTAAGGTACACCATACCAGCAGATGTCATTAAAATATGAGCTTCTTGAGGATGAGAATGACAAAGAGAGCTAAGACCGCCACCACGAGGACGAGTATGCAGAAGATAAGGGCTGATTGCTTCTGGGACTTCTCAGCCTAAGAAGAAAAAACAGATGCAAAAACGAGGCAATGCAGCAAGGAAAATGATGCATTGTGAGGAAAGAAACGGATAAATAACTTACAAACTATTCATGCTCGCACCTGAAACCAATCGTACCTTTTTGAGCTCCTCAACGCCCTTGTCCACGTTTGCACTGATGTTCTGAATGTTGTAGTCAATCCGGTCAACAATGGTTCCCTGCACCCAGCACAGCAGAGCACCACAGCCCAGGCCACCGGCAAAGCAGAGGTTAGAACCAGCAGAAACAAAGAACATACACGTCATGTTCAGATACTTACAATGAAAAGGGACACCAAAACATGGGAGTACAGAAGTCAGAACAACAAGCAATGTGGCATTTGTTCTCACCTGATCAATGACGAGGACTGAAATGTCCTTCATGATCTGGGCGAGGTCATGCACCGATTGCACAATCTGTTCCACCATGAAAACAGACGGGAATGGAACCCACGGGGGAAGCAAACGGAAATAGCTGACGAGAAAGCACATGAGCGAGAAGCTACTGAGCAATGGCTGTTCCATTTGAACGGAGGAGGGTACAGGCGCATGCGCTCAATGTCCTAGCAACAGAGTGTTACTGACCCATTTTTGGCAGATTTTCTTTCTTTCATCAGGTAACCTGACATCTTTTCCAAAAATATCTCACCTCTTGAATTTCTTTCTCCCTCTCTGTTTATCGGGTAACCTGAGACAATTTCCAGCAGCTCACCTCTTGAATCTCTTTCTCCCTCTCTGCTGTCACGTTCTCCATCTGTCTCACTCGCAGCAGCTGTCGCTCCTCAAATTCCTGCAAGACAGCCGTGTGAACGACCAGCGCTATCAGAAGATGCTGATACAGCCAATCGTAATGTGCTCCTGATGATGACTGGATGATGCTGATAATGGTGATGGGATGGTGCTGAAAGGAAGATGCTGGTGCACTGATCGGGTGATGGTGATAACACTAGTCAGATGATGATGAAGTAGAGCTGATTGTAATGCGAATCTGACTGACGCTCAGAATGTCTAAAGGATAGTGCTCATACATGCGGATTCATTGATCATGCTCATTGGGTGATGCTCATAACGCTGATTGGATGATGCTGATGAAACTATCCTGATAATGCTATAAGATGATGCTAATCCAATGGCGCTGATGCTGATGGAATAAAGCTGATTGAATGATGCTGATAAAGGATTCTAACAACAACTGAAGAGCTGGTGAAGTGAGTTGGAGGGGGGAAGGAGTGGGATAGTTAAGGGGGGAAAGGAGGAGGGGTCGGCAGGGGAAGGGGGGGAAGAATTCACCACAAGCGCATAGTTACATGGTGAATGGCAATTAAAGCAATGTGGGAGGAAGGGGTTGGGAAAGAGGGTGGGAAAGAGCAATTAAGCGGTAGAAAGGCACAGAATATTGTGAAAGGGGAAGAGGAACCAAAAGAGGCGGACGAGCAGGCAGGAGTATGACTGCGATAACCTGAAAGAGAATGAGGGGGTTGGAAAGAACAGGGAGCAGGAGGAAAGGCAGGTGGGAGGTGCTGGAAGAAAACGAGGAGAAACGAGGAGCGCTTACAGGGTCAAAGTAGTCATCCTCATCTGCTTGAGTTGCGCTGGACGATGCATCGTGTAACCTGCCTGTTGACCCACCAGCGGCCGCACGGCCCAGCACAGCCTGACATGCACAATTTCGTGTCACAGACAGTTAGACGTAGGTCGGCAAACCAAAAGCACATGATCAACCATGAGGACGGAGAAAAAGAAAGAAAGAAATTTGAGTGCAAGTCCCGAGTCTTGGTGCTATTATTGGAGAGCCAATTCTCAAAGTCCCTGAAACGATTTACTATGCCTACATTTGACTCAACCAATCAGCAAGTGCACATGCTCTCAGGCAACCAATGTCTGCTACACACAGATTTACACACCTTTTCTTGGGGCTGCTGCTGTTGCTGTAACCGCCGTAAATACTGCTTTGTCTGTTTGCGGAAATCCATGGAGAGTTGTTGCATATCCGTGGCCATGCATCTCTGATAAAAGATAGTGGAGAATTGATGGGACGGTAAGAGAAGGGGGGTGGGGCGGGACGGGGAGGGGAGGAGTAAGCTGGGAAAGATGGAAGTGGACAAACAGCCAACCTCCGTGAGCACCCGCGGACAGATGTGTTTCATAGGTCATTGTTCATCTCTCCAGGTTTTCTTTAGTAGCCAAATCCGAATCTGCATCTTTCACTTTCACGTTACACATTCGCAGCTCACCTGAACGTTGCGCGCAATGGCAGCATTCCCCGCTGACGTCGCGTCTTTTCGCGAAAGCTGCTGCAGCCGCTGCTCGCACGTCTTCAGCGCCCGTGTGATTTCCGCCGTGAGCACCTCCATGGTTCTCTCATGCTCGTTCTTCTTCCCCCGCGCATCGTCCGTATCAAACGACGGTAGCAACGCGCGTGCCTGGACCTTCGCTAGCTCACCCATCTTCCCTCTAATCTTTTGCATATCGTCCTTTATTTTGTCCGACACGTCTACCCACACCGGCGGTAAGCCTGGGCTCCCTAGACCACCAGAAGTAGCTGGTTGCGATGCTGCTCCTGACGTCCCTGCTGAAAGCCTGAACCAGAGTGTGTGAGAAAAAATGGATTGAAAAGCCACTCTTGAACCTATTTTCAAAAGGCTCGGCAGCATAACATACCAACAGGAATTGTGCTACAGCTAGCAATGGTTGAATCGCCGACCGTATCCTCCAGATTCAATCAACAATTAGGGTAATGTTACGTTGTGTCGAGCATACCTCTCTCCGGTGTCTAGCCGTGTTAGTTGTACGTAACCTCCTCCTTTTCTTCCCGTCCCCCATCCCTTTTCCACCTGATCAAGATCGCGAGCGGCTCCGGCGTTTGGCCTAGTTGACTTGAGAGAATCTCGATGTTTTATAAAAACGGCTGTTCGATTTCGTGTCGCCATGTCGGATCGTCACCGGGAATAGTTTAGCAGTGTGTCGGCAAAATTTGATCAGATTTGCTCAAGTCTTAACAACCTGAACTAGTGTCGAGCAGGATTAGTAATTGAGCTCTACGGATGATTGTTGGTGAAAAAGAAGGCGACGGCTGAATTACAGCATGTCCTGTCGTCATCGACCTAGCAGTTGCACCTTCGGCTCATCATGCCACACGAATCAAGCGCAAGACCGTTGAGGGAGGGAAGAACTAGAATCAAGCGTCTTCTCCCGTGGCGTCTCAGAGCCTACAACCCTCAGGACGGATGGAAGAACTAGAAATCTCACAAAACAACCTAGTAGGATGCAACTTGGCATGATGAAGCTATGCTGCTGTGCTTCCTTTGAATCCACCACAACCAAGTTTGACTGTTGGTCGGACTGGCTGCTACCGAATTCGGGCTTGGTTTGGTTTGGATGGGAGGGAAGCTGCTGCTGCGGCGGGACGTCAGGCGAAACGGCGTTGGGAATGACGAGCCACGGCCAGCCAGAATCGCCAACGGGAAGATTCGGCTTCTGGAAGAGGAACAGTGTTTATCAGATCAGTGTACTTGTAATAATATATTACCAGAAAATAAGTGAACATGGCGACAGTGGTCGAAAGGTTACATGGATATCCAAATGACTGGAATGAGCACACGTGGAGAACGCCATAGGTGCACAAAAAGCTGCACACAACGAGAAACCGTTTTGGCTGATCAAAATTTGAAACAGCGTTGCATTACTGCAACTTGTCCTAGGAAAAAACAAGCCAAACAAAGCAGCCTGAAAGCGGCCATGACAAATTTCATCGAGTGGGGGTGTCCGGAGGGGGGAGGGTTGTGATGGTGGGTGCAGCAGGGGGAGCGGGGAAGGAGGAGTGCTGGTGGTGCTCTGGCCTGTGCTCCACCTCATAGTCCAGATGCACAAAAGCCCTCTCAATCTCCGGTAACCGCTCCAGCTTGTTCTGCAGTGCCTCTCCTATGTCATGCGTTTCCTGCCATAGGAGCAGATGGGACAGATGGATTAGAGAGGGCAAGGAGAGCGCGGGAGGGGGAGGGAGACGCGGAAGAGACGAATTAGGGAGGGAGAGGTTGGCATGAAGACATGATGTGGTGGGCGCAGGTCATCCCCAACTCACCTCCTAACCTCATCAACTGACCCCAAGCACGATCACCCTGGGCTCACCTCAAGCAGCATGCCGCGGGGCAGCACAATGTCCACTTCTGTGAAGTAGAGCGTGGCGAAGGTGTAAAGCTAACCCCATCAATCAGGGCTCACCTCTCTCGAACGGCATGCCTCACCTCAAGAGGCATATCCCGGGGCAGCACCACATCCACTTCAGTGAAGTAGAGCGTGCCGAAGGTGTAGGCGCGCACGGTGTCGATAGCGAGGATGGCCTCGTGGTGGTTCCAGCACAGGTACGTTATCTTCTGCAGGAACTCGGGCGGCGCTGACCGGCCCGTGAGGGAGTTGACGTTTTCCAGGACTGTGCGACCCCAGTTGATCATCGTGTATAGGGCGAGCTGGGGTTGAGAGAGAGAGGATTGGGAAGAGATTCAATGGATGAAAGAGACGGAAGAGAGGAAAGGGAAGAGAGCCCAACGAGTTGACGTTCTCCAGGACTGTGCGACCCCAGTTGATTGATCATCGTGTATAGGGCGAGCTGGGGGGGAGAGAGAGGGGATTGGGAAGAGAGTCAATGGATGAAAGAGAAGGAAGAGAGGAAAGGGAAGAGAGCCCAACGAGTTGACGTTCTCCAGGACCATGCGACCCCAGTTGATCATCGTGTATAGGGCGAGCTGGATGGGGGGTAGAGAAGAAGGGGGCGGGAGGGAGGGGACGAAGAGAGGGTAGAAACGGAGTTAACATGGAAAATACGGAAACGAGTGAACGTTCTCCAGGACCGCGTGCGCCCCCAGTTGATCATCGGGGGGGGGGGGGGGGGGGGGGAAGGGGAAGGATGGGGGAAGAGGGCGGAGGTGATGAAAGACGTAGGGAGGGAAGAGATGGAACTGAGGTTGATATGAACTCAGAATGATGAGGCTGCGGATAACAGGGGTTGGATGGCAGGTGTGGGTTTCATGGGTGGGTGGATGGATGGCATGGGTGGGTGGCAGGGGTGGATGGCAATGGGCGGCAGGGAGATCCTACCAGAATGGCGCCAACAGGGTCGATCCACCAGGCAACAGCCCCTGCGAGCACAGCAGCTGCCAGCCCCACGGTGTTGGTCACCACGTCAAAGAAATGGTCCTGCGGACACACACGGTGGAGTGGGAGTGGAATAATGGTGTGGTTATCAAGGTGTCGCTAAAGTCAAACCCACAAATGAGCTGCCCAGCCCCACGGTGTTGGTCTGGCCACCACGTCGAAGAAAATGGTCCTGCAGGCGTGGAGGAGTGGGGGTGGAATGGTGGTGGGATGGTGGTGTCACAAAAGCGTCACGGTGGTGGGATGACGGAAGGAATTGTTACACGGAGGGAGGCACGAGAATGCAGAGGGGGATTAGGTCTTTGCAGCGAGACATGTTATCAAGACATGTTATCAAGAGAACATGTTATCAAGACATGTTATCAAGAGAACATGTTATCAAGACATGTGAGAACATGTTATCAAGACATGTTATCAAGAGAACTCACCTGAGCATATGTCATGACGATGCGGTTGCCTGTGAATATGCGGCAATAGAAGAAGAGTGCAGTCTTGACAGCTTCTTGAGTCGACTCAAAACCCGTTCAGCCATGCCAAGCTAGAGGATCATCTCACCTGAGCGTATGTCATGACGATGTCATTGCCTGTGAAGATGCGGCAGTAGAAGTAGAGTGCGGATTTCACTGCTATCACGAACACCATGATCGCAACATAAACCTGCCACTCGCTGCCCAGCCCCACCGCGGACTGAGGGGACAGCACGGGCGGATGGAAGCGAGGGGAGGAGAGTGGGAGAGTGATGTGACTGACTGAAATTGCAGACACCAGATTAAGCAGGCTGTGATTCACAGCAGAACGCAACAAGGGGCTCGAACGGCTCGAATGGGGTGACAAGGTGTGATTCAACAGCAGATGTGATAGAACAGCAGATGTGATAGAACAGCAGATGTGATAGAACAGCAGATGTGATTGAACAGCAGATGTGATAGAACAGCAGATGTGATAGAACAGCAGATGTGATAGAACAGCAGATGTGATAGAACAGATGCCAGGGTGACAAGATGTCAGGGTTTACACCCAAGGAGAGAAGCTTCAATCACAGAGTCATGCAAATTGTAGATCCTACCAAGCCCATGATTTGTGATTCGTAGCGAGTCGGTGAGTTCTAGATCTTACCAAAGTCCTCGTCCTAGCAATTTCTAGTTCATACCAACCGACCGAGTCCGGTGAGTTGTAATCCCCCTATCGAGAATGTCAGCTGCGATTCCTACCGGATCTCATCCTACTGTTCTTTACTGTTCTTTAACTCATACCGAGTCAGTGAGTCGCCTGACGCCCTCCAGAAGCACCTGGAAGCCGAGAGTTGCCATGATGGACGCAAACACTATGATGCCCTGTGGGGTCATGAGGCGGTCAAGGAGGGGAGGAGGGGGTGTGATGCGGGGTCACTGTGATGCTCCAATGGCACCTGGAAGCTGAGAGTGGCCATGATGGATGCAAGCAGTATGACTGTATGACCGCCTGACTCTACGGACGCCAGTAGAGTGCGGTGCAATGCGGTGGAGTGCGGTACAATTCGGTGCCATGCGATGCCGTGCGGTGCAATAAGGTGCAGTGCAGTGCAATGCGGTGGAGTGCGGTGCGAGGAGGACGCACCAGGGGCTGCATGAGGGCCTTGCCGATGGGGCACTTGTAGGGGTTGTGGCGGCGCATGGAGCGGGCGGTGTACCAGAGGATGAAGCCCGACAGCAGGTCCAGCAGCGAGTCCAGCGGTGGAGTGCGGCAATGTGGTGAAGTGCGGTGTAGTGCAGTGGAATGAGATGAAGTGTGGTGTAGTGCGGTGGAATGCAGTGCAGTGCGGTGCAACACTTCTGTCGTGCGGTGCTGGTGCAACACTCACCAGGGGCTGCATGCGGGCCTTGCCGATGGGGTACTTGTAGGGGTTGTGCCTTCGCATGGAGCGGGCGGTGTACCAGAGGATGAAGCCCGACAGCAGGTCCAGCAGCGAGTCCAATGTCGATGCTATGATCGACAGACTGCCCGACTCTATGGACGCTGCCACCTGGATACAACGCGGTGCAGAGCGGTGGAGGGGATTGTAGTGGAGTGGGGTGGGGTGGTGTGGAGTGGAGAGGAGTGGAGAGGAGTGGAGAGGAGTGGAGTGAGGAGATGAATGGGGTGGAGTGAACTGACGATGGAGAACAAGAGAACGATTGGAAACAAGTATTCAGAAGGAGAAGATGTAGGGGATACAACGATAGGACCATATGCATGCAGTGGCACGCATATTGACTATAAAGAGGACAATATTGGCGATGTTGGAAATTTGTATCGCCTTTTGAGGCGACTTAAAAATAGTTCTGAAGCGCGCCAAAAACAAGAATCACGCACCTTGACTATAAAGAGGACGATATTGGCGATGTTGGAGATCTGAATCGCCCAGTGCTCGCCTCGCGCTGTCTTGGCTGCCGCCCTGGCCTCCTGAAATGTGCAAACGAGGGTTTGGGACGAAGGGTTGGGACGAAGGTTGGGAGGAAGGGTTGGGACGAAGGGTTGGGATGAGTAGTCATTGGCATTCTGGCACGCTATGATGAGTGGTACTGCAGCACAGCACCCGCCTTAGCGTGCCTCTCACAGCACCACTGCTCTGACCGCACCACACTTGTCACCTCAACATAAGCTCTCACTCATACCTCAGAACGTCTCTCCCTCAGTGGTAGGGTGTCAGCGGTGGGACGCAGCAGGTGCTCACCTCAGCGGTGGGTCGCAGCAGGTGCTCACCTCAGCGGTGGGTCACAGCAGGTGCTCACCTCAGCAGTTAGTTCTGCCGCTGGTAGTAGTACGCGCTTATCGCGTCGTCCCGCATGCCTCAGCACAGCACTCACCTCAGCAGTCGGTTGCAGCAGGCACTCACCTCAGCGGAGGGTCGCAGCAGGTGCTCGCTGAGTGCGTCCATCTCACTAAAGCCGTCAATCATCTCGTTCTGCCGCTGGTAGTACGCGCTTATCGCGTCGTCCGTGCTGCTCACTGACACAGTGCCACGTGGCGGGCGAGCGGGAAGCGATAGAAGTGGAAGGCAGGGGAAGAGTCCGGGTTTGGAAGCCTTCTAGAAAGTGGGAGACGTTTCTTTTGTTCTTTATTTTTTTCATTCCAACAAAAAATAAAGACAATCCCAGGAGTAAAACGCTTGGAGCTAGTTTAGCAAGATAGGAAACGGAAGCTAATTTTTTAAAAGATACCTCGGAGTATTCCCATTCTGCTGGAGCCGCGTTCGTCGTCGCGTAAGTCCCGCCTGGCAGCGGCGAATTGGCTGTGGTCCAGTCGCCATTGCCTTTCCCTCTCCCGCTCGCTCCGCGACCTGTCTAGAAGCTCGGATTCACCGTTCTCTGGTACCGCGCTTGGCGCGACCTGCCTAATCTCCTTGGTTTCGTCGCGCTTTACGTCAGCTGAACGGCGATGCAATCCGTCAGCCGCCACGGAGACGGAAACATGACGGACTCCGTCAGCTCCGGTAACGTTGGAATGATCAGGGGTGGGAGGATCTCCGCCAGAATCGCTGCCTGGAGAACCCATATCTGATATGGCGGATTTGACCAGGAACTTGCGTACTGCTAAATGTATCCGCGGATACCACTCAGCTGTTTTGATGAAGTTCCACCTAGAACTGCAGGCAATGCGGCGCCTCTAATTTCTAGGGATTGCCGCGAAGACAGCCAAGAATAATATGTTCAATTCGCTAGCCGGGAGGCGCTTGTGTTGTGTGGTGTTGTGCAGAGATATTCCTTTCAACTACTGCTCTGAGCCTCATGGCCATTTTTCTAGCTACCTACTTTACACCCTTCAAATTGTTTCTTTTAGACGTGAAGTTTTTCCTCTCCCAGCGATTCCCTCTCTTCGGTGACGTATTTGTGGAGGAGCAAACGAATTTCACAGGTTCGTGGATCAGGCACGGTGGTGCTTCCAGCAAAATCATAGGGTGGGTGTGCTTTAAGAGGAGATGTAATTTAACGGGTAGAAGTGGGTTACGGGTAATTTTATAAACGACTCCATCATACCAAGGCTCTACTGTAAAAAACTTAGCTATACAAGGTATTTTAATGACAGTGCTCGTCAACATCGGAAGAATTCCACACCCTTCATTTTGTTTAATTTTTTATAACCCCTCTCTGAGATTTCCCACCCCCAGGGATTTCCACCCTTCCACTCTGCACTTAACAAACGAATTTCGTATCAGCTGGTTGCAGAATGTCGGTGTCGACCCGTCTGGGAAATTTTCTCAATGCTGTCCGTTAGGAATCCGGGCAAAGGGAAAAGAAGCCCTGAAAATATCTGAGATGAGATCAAGCTGTCCATGAACTCTTAGGGAAAACGGACAAATGCCCGTGAATGGACAGGCCTGCTGTAGAGCTTGCAGAAGAGAGGTCTTGAAGGTGGAGGGTGTCTTTCATCTGGACGGGTGGATGCTGCTGTAAATTGGTCTCATCGACGGTTCCGATCGGCTGGCTTGTGGTTTGTGTGGTAATATTGATGGCGGTGATATATCTCCATCGACGGCCTGTAAAATGTTGTCTGATTTTGACAATATTGAGGAAGCCAAGCTGTCGGCCAAAGCTTTCGCGAGGTCGGGCTCCCCTCCCCACCAGGTATTGTTCAGGTAACCGTATCTCGTCGGATCCCTCTGATTGGTGCGAATATGGCTCGGCAAGTGTGACGGTTCGTCCACCACATGTGATCGAGAGAGCCAGACCCTCCGAGCCGAAGTAACGAAGCGAACAGTTCCGAACCGAGCTGCGAGGAGCACCATCACCTCTTCACCACAAGTTGTGTTGCACGACAAGTTACTGCTGCACGCGAATTGTCCGTCATCGCAAGAGAGGTAGGTGAAAGTCATGGGTGGGCCGGCCTAGACGCTACCATATCACCATCCGCCTCCTAGTAGGTGACCAGTTGACTTTTCCTACCATTCCCTGTAGAAAGTGAGGAATGAGGCTGGTTTGATTTAGAACACATGCCATGCTTATGGCAGGTATCTTAGATCTTGAGCATCAGCGGTGATGGAATGGTAGCTTATGGCAGGTGTCTTATATCTTGAGTAATTTTCTCTTAATCGCCTTCCCAAGTTTGGATCCCGATCGGCGAGCATGTAATCTGCTGGAAAGATAAAATCTTAAATAAGGCACGACATTCAGTAACGTCACGATGTGGGGAATCACTGGAATGGACGTCACGAAACGCGTCGGAGCGTCATCTCCGATGCGTCAAGAAGCGAGGCAAAGAAGCTTCTTTAGAAGGGGAGGGGGAGGTGGTGGTGGTGGAGGAGGTGGAGGAGGAGGCATTGGAGGATTCTTCAGTGGGTTGTACAAGCGGCATTACTGCTGCTCGCCAGTGGTTGCTATCGTGCTCATTTGGCTGATAGGCTTTGGTATCTGGAATAGCGGCCTTTTCAGGTAATTCCGTAGCGACATTGGACAGGAATTGTGAAGCCTGGAACGAGGGATTAGAGTTTGATATCTATAAAACAAAATCTCGGCTGCTATCCTAGACCACTCTATGTATAAATCTGTTATCCGCATTTTGTTGTCAGCGCTCTCGAAACGTCGCAATGCGATTTAGATTTGAAAACTGAAAAAAGTGTTTTGAAAATCCGGATCACAATGTTCAACAACGTTCTCTCCTTTTAATAAATTCCATCCCCATTGCTATTCCCCCCAGAAGCCGAAATTCCTCCCCATCTGTTCCCACCATCGGGGAAGACGATGATCCCTTTGCCAGCGGCCAGCCTGGCGACGAGGCATGGACGGCAAAGTCAACTTTTTGAGTCGAACCAAAAGCCGAATCACAGCGTTTTGTAACGTTCTTTCCAATCCCTACCTTCCCTCCCCATTTTCATTCCCTCCAGAAGCCGAAATTCCTCCCCATCCGCTCCCACCATCGGGCAAGACGATGATCCCTATGCCAGCGGCCAGCCTGGCGACGAGGCATGGACAGCAAAGTCAACCAAGACCTCCAAACCGACCATCACCGGCACCAATCCCTCTCTTTCTGACGCGTCTGACGACGATGATGACCCCTGGTCCTCCAAAAACACCAATCCTGGTGGTTTGGTGACGTCGCCCAGCCTCGGCAATGCAGGTTCGGAAAGCGATTATGGGGATGGTCTGGGAGGGTCGGAAGGATCAGAAGCAGCAGGAGGAATAGCAGTTGGGAAAGATGTCAATATCAATGCTGAAACGCCCCAACCAGCCGCTAAGACGGGATGGTTTTCTTGGCTATGGGGGGGTAAGAAGAAGGAGGAGAGCACTAGCGCTGCACCAGATGGGGAGGGTGAGGACAGCTCGACCGGGACAGGCGGGTACAGACCCGGGAGCGGGTCCGGGATGGGTTTTGGAGATGCTAGTAACGAGGATGAGGAAGACGGAGATGGAGGGATGGGAGGGACGACAGGTTGGGGTTCGAAGCTAGCTGGTTCCAGGTCTGGGATTGGTAGGACAGGAGGGTTTGGCGGATTGCCGTCAACGGGTATGGAGGATGACGAGGATGAGGAGAGTGGTGGTGGTGGTGTGGGCGGAGGGAGAGGGAGTGCGAAGGGAGGGGCGTTTGGGGCGCGAGATGAGGGGTTTGGGGGACGTACGGGTGGGAGGATGGGCGCATTTGCTGGGCGTGGTGGTGCTGTGAAGAGAAAGGGGAGTGCTTTTGGCGGGGATGAGGAGGACGAGGAGGAGGATGGGGAGGGCGGGGGAGGGAGCGGAGGGGCGTTTGGGGGAAGGCTGGGGAGTGTTGGTTCGGGAAGGATGGGCAAGCTGGGAAGTGGGGGGATGAAAGGCGGGTTGTGGGGGAGGGGGGTTGGGCGGAGAGGAGGGGAGGACGAGGAGGAGGAAGGGGAGGGGGGTATTGGTAATGCGATTGGGCAGATGAGAGGAAAGGTCGGCGGTTTGGGAGGAAGAGGGGGAGTGAGAGGAGGGCGGGGGAGAGCGAGTGGGGATGATGAGGAGGAAGAGGAGGAGGAGGAGGAAGAGGAGCGCTCGTGGAGGTAGAAAGGGGAGGAAAAGGGGGAACAGGGGGGATGATGAAGATGATGAGGAGGAGGAGGAGGACGGAGGGGGTGGAAACGCAGAGGAGGAAGAGGACGAGGAGGGGGAAGAGGAGAGTCCTAGGGGCGGGATGAAGGGACGTAAGAGGGCTGGGGAAGAGGAGGAGGAGGAGGAAGAGGAGGAAGAGGAGGAGGAGGTAGACGAGGAAGAAGAAGAAGAGGGAGGGGAGGAGGAGGATGAGGAAGAGGAAGAGGAGGAGGAGGAGGAGGAGGAGGAGGGAGGGCGAGGAGGAAGAAGACAGGAGGGAAGAAGAAGAAGATAGGTGGAGGAAAGAAGGGGAAAGGGGCGCGGGGAGGGAAGGATGAGGTGGATGATGCAGTGGAAGAATTTGAACAGGCGGCCAAGGAAGCAGAGGGGTTAGCAGCCCGACTCGGCAAGAAGAACCCGCGAGCAAAGACGAAGGGAGGGATTGCAGCGGCAGAGGAAGAAGAGGAGGAGGATGATGAGGAGGAGGCGGAGGAGGAGGAGGCGGGGCGGGGAACGGGGCGTGTGAAGCAGGCGGGGAGGGTGGGGAAGGATGCAGCGAAGAGGAAGGAGGAGGAGCGAGTGGCGAGCATGTTCTATGGCACCAGGGCTGCAGACGAGGCGCCCAGTGTGGAGGACGCGCAGGTGGAGGAGGAGGAGGAGGCTCCAGGGGAGGATGACGAGGGGCTGCTTGATTTTGCCTCGCTTCGCATCCCAGGCACTGGCGTGAGGGGCACCAAGGTGAGTGAGCTGCTTTGGGTCCACTGAAACCTTGATTGCTCTCACCGCCCGAGGTGAGGATGACGAGGGGCTGCTTGATTTTGCCTCGCTTCGCATCCCAGGCACTGGCGTGAGGGGCACTAAGGTGAGTGAGCTGCTTTGGGTTTACAGAAGCCTTGTTGGTTCTCACCGCCTGTGGTGAGGATGATGAGAAGCTGCTTGATTTCGCCTTGCTGCGCAACCCAGGCACCACCGTGCAGGGCAACAAGGTGAGTGAGTGAGTGAGCTGCGTTGGGTCCACAGAATCTCTTCCTGCATTGGGCACTGAGGTGAGTGAACTGCATTGGATCTTTTGGAACCCTTTGCTGCCGTCACCACCCTCGGAGATGATGGTGAGGGTGAGGTACATTAGTTCACCTGGGTCATCATCCCTCCCTGCCTTGCCTCCCGCCACTGTCAGGTGATGGATCTGGAGAGGCAGCTGGCGTGTGTGGCGAGGGAGGGGCGGTGGGCGCTCAATCTGACGCCATGCTGGCTGCCCAAGCTGCGCCTACTGACTCCTGCTTTGCAACGTCCCCGTTTAACTCCCACCCACACGAATACCTGCATCACATCACACCCGATGGTACCAGGTGATGGATCTGGAGAGGCAGCTGGCGTGTGTGGCGAGGGAGGGGCGATGGGCGCTCAATTCCACGCCTCGCTGGCTGCCGTGGGACCTCAACCCACTCACAGTCAAGGAGCAGCCCAACTACCGCACCTGTGACATGCTGCACGCCCAGCGGTAAGAGATAAATCGAAATGTATGAACTGCGAGTAACGAATAGCGTTGCTGTGGGACCTCAACCTGCTCACACTGAAGGAGCAGCCCAACTACCGCACCTGTGACATGCTGCACGCCCAGCGGCACCTGCATGAATCTCGTTTCGTTGTTGTGATAACAGCACATAAAGATGAAGCTACCTATAAACATGTAAACCAAACTTAAGTCAAGCAAATTTAGTTTGTTCTTTCAGAACCTCTCCTTCTCCTCACATCTCCTCTTGCGCCTCCCTCCTCCTTGCCTCTCTGCTCATCCTCCCACCCGTTCAGAGAGGGTGGCATCTACGGTCTCCAAGCCGAACGAATTCACCAGAAGCACTCCCTCTCACCCGCCATTCCCTTGTCCTTCTTGGGATTTCCTCTCTCTCACGCCTTCCTTCTTGTTCCTCCCCTCGCTGTTCATCCTCCCACCCGTCCAGAGAGGGTGGCATCTACGGCCTCCAAGCTGAGCGAATCCGCCAAAAGTACTCCCGAGCCTCCCGCCGCCGAGGCTCGGCCGCGCCGGACTGGAAGGTTCGGCGGGAGGTGCTGTACGAGTGGCGCAGCAGTGAGCCGGAGCGGTGCCCGTTTGTGCGGTTCGACCGGGAGGGGTTCTGCCGGGCAGTGCGGGGGCGGAACGTGGTTCTGGTGGGGGATGCTTTCAGCCTTGATATGCACGACTCCGTTCTGAACCATCTGGTTACTGCTGGGACTAAAAGAGACGCCGGCCGGCTGGGCGATGGATGGTGAGTGCATGAGTGAGTGAGTGAGGGATGAAGTGAGTGAATGAGTGAGGGAGGGAATGAGAGAGGTGGGCAAGGGAGGGAGGTTGGGGTGGAGTGGGAGGTGCTGTACGAGTGGCGCAGCAGCGAGCCGGAGCGGTGCCCGTTGGTGCGGTTCGACAGGGAGGGATCCTGCCGGGCAGTGCGGGGGCGGAACGTGGTGCTGGTGGGGGATGCTTTCAGCCTTGACATGCATGATGCGGTGCTGAATCATCTGGTTACTGCTGCCACCAAGAGAGACGCTGGTCGACTAGGCGATGGATGGTGAGAGGCGGGAAGTGGCCAAGGAAGGGAGGGTGGGGTGGGATGGGGTGGGGTGGGGTGGGGTGGGGGCCCTATTGCAGGCTGTTCGCTCCACACTATCTTCTCAGCCACCTCTCACAAGAATCCCTCCCTCCTCTCCCAACTCCACATGTGATTCCCCCCACAGGGCCAATGCCACAGAGGGCGCATGCTTTGAGGCAGGCCACCAGCTGTGCACCGACGTCCCCATTACCCCCACCTCCGCTCTCCCCACCTCCACTGCCTCTGGTTCGTACGGCAAAGGTCCCCCTGACACCACTGGCGGAGCAGCAGCAGCAGGAGCAGGAGGAGGAGCAGGAGCAGGAGCAGGAGCAGGAGGAAGGGGAGGCGTAGATGGGCTGGAAGGAGATGAGGAAAGTCGGAGGGATAGCAGCATAGCTGCTGTGCGAGGGAAGGAGCGCAGGAGGCGAGGCAGGAGGCAGGGAGGGGCCTCTCGAGGCCGTGTGCTGCTGTGGGAGTCGGATGGGAGCGAGGAGGAGGACGAGGACGAGGGGGCGGAGGGGACGGAGGGAGGGCGAGGCGGGGGAGGAGGGGGAAGAGGGGGAGTCGGGGGAAGGGTTCCTCAAGGGAGCTCCAACGGAGGAGATGGGGAGGATGAGGAGGATGAGGAGGAGGGGGGCAGCGGTGGTGGTGGCAGCAAAGGCTGGAGTTCAGGGGGTGCTAGCGCTGGTGGAGGAGGCTCGGGCTCTGCTTTGCAGCTGGGGTCTAGGTCTGGGCCAGGCTCGGGGTTAGGTTCGGGCAGAGGTGTGGCGAGGGGTGGGGAGGCATTATCATCAGCGGGGTTTAACTTGCGTGTGGTGCTGAACCCGTTTCTGACACCCGACACGGGCCGCCCCACGCGCTACAACACCCGCTGGCTGCGCCGCCTGCGGCGGTGGCGCACGGATATCCTCATCCTCTCGCGCACTGCGCTCTTCAACGACAGTGAGTGCTGCGTGCAGCATGTTGCTGGCTTTTTTTTGTACCGTCTGCGTGCTTCTCCTGCGGCGGTGGCGCACGGACATCGTCATCCTCTCCCGCACCGCGCTCTTCAACGACAGTGAGTGCTGCCTGGAACATTCCTAATCTTCCGTGGGGCCCTCAAGCATTTCTTTTTCGCCTCAGCACCTGATGGCACAGGAGGTGGGTGGGGGATACAATAGAGACAGTGATGGAGCTGTTTTTCGGCATGCTGGTTATTTGGCGCAACTCCACCGGGTGTGACGAAGCCGCATTTGGGCATGTTGGTTATTCAGCGCAACTCCCCCGGGTGTGATTATTCGAGTTCTGAGTCGACTCAAAACTCGGCAGTGACAGAGCTGTATTTGGGCATGTTGGTTATTCGGCGCAACTCCCCCGGGGGCCATCCACTGTATCCCTATTTCCCTCCATGCATGCCAACCTCCCTCCATTCTTCGCCCCCCTCCCAACACAACGCAGAGGATATAATGCTGCAGGAGGTGCGGGACACCCTAGAGGCAGTGCGGGAGCTCTATCTGGATATGCTGGTCATCTGGCGTAACTCCTGTGCTGTGCTGGCCTCCCCATGTGTCCCTTCCTCCCTTTCCCTCTCTTTCCCTCTCTTTCCCAGAGGATTTGATGCTACAGGAGGTGCGGGACACACTGGAGGCAGTAAGGGAGCTCTATCCGGACATGCTGGTCATCTGGCGCAACTCCCCTGCAGGTCACCCCAGCTGCCACCGCTTCACCCGCCCGCTCAAGCGCCGCCCCAAGCCGCTGCAGCTCAAGGGGCAGCTGCCAGCCACGTGGACGCGGCACGCTGAGATGAACGCTGCCGTGCGGTCGCTGCTCAAGGTGAGTGGATGGCAGGTGCAGCTGCTTCACGCAAGCAACAGTCGCTGCAGCTCAAGGGACAGCTGCCAGCCACGTGGACGCGGCACGCTGAGATGAACGCCGCTGTGCGGTCGCTGCTCAAGGTGAGTGGATGGCAGGTGCAGTTGCTTCACGCAAGCAACAGTCGCTGCAGCTCAAGGGACAGCTGCCAGCCACGTGGACGCGGCACGCTGAGATGAACGCCGCTGTGCGGTCGCTGCTCAAGGTGAGTGGATGGCAGGTGCAGCTGCTTCACGCAAGCAACAGTCGCTGCAGCTCAAGGGACAGCTGCCAGCCACGTGGACGCGGCACGCCGAGATGAACGCTGCTGTGCGGTCGTCACTGAAGGTGAGGATCAGGTTGTCACAGGGTCAAGTGAGTGGGTGTTGGTTGCAGCAGCAGCATCAGGTCAACAGTAGCCGCTGCAGCCACCTCGCTGCGCCCGGACGGCCACCACAGGAGGCTGGACGGTACAGTGGACTGCCGCCACTACTGCATGCCGTCTTTGTTGTCCCCTCTCATCCCAATCCCTCCTCTCATCCCAATCCCTCCTCTCCCTCCAGCAGAACGACTGTCGTTTTTGCCCTTTTTCAGCTGCTCTCCCCTTCCCTATCCCCCATGTCTCTCCCTCCCCCTCCCAGGAGTACGGAGTGGTGTACCTAGACGTTGACTCAGCCACGTCGCTGCGCCCGGACGGCCACCACAGGAGGCTGGACGGTACAGTGGACTGCCGCCACTACTGCATGCCGGGTCCCCTCGACCACTGGGTCTCGCTGCTCTACAACCTGCTCCGCCTTATTGATTCCCACTCCCAGCCACAACAGCAGAGAGCGCAGCAGGGGTTATCACCCCAGCCTGTCAGGCCCGGTCTCCTGCCTGTGCGTTCTGGAGGGGAGTCTGAGCCTGGTCGCCCACTGGTGGCTCCAGCTGATGTTGGTGCTGGTGGTGCTGCTGCTGGCGACAGTGATAGTGCTGGTGATGGTGATGGTGCCGCTCTTGGTGCTGGTGCTGGTGATAGTGCTGGTGATGGTGATGGTGCCGCTCTTGGTGCTGGTGCTGGTGATAGTGCTGGTGATGGTGATGGTGCCGCTCTTGGTGCTGGTGCTGGTGCTGGTGCTGGTGCTGGTGCTGGTGCTGGTGGTGGTAGTGACATTCGACCTGGTGGCGCACAGGAGGAAGGGGGAGGTGTGGGCGAGGGAGGAGGAGATGGCAGCAGAGAGGGGGAGGAGAAGGGTGGCAAGGGGGAGAGCGGGGAAGAGGGAGGCCAGGCTGGGAGTGGGGGAATACAGAACGAGGGGGAAAGAGGGGCTGAAGAGGTGACTGGGGGTGCGGTGGAAGGGGGTAAGGAGGACGTGACAGGCAGTGGGGAAGGGAGGGAAGCGGGCAGTGGAGAAGCGGGGAAAGAGGGGGGAGAGGAAGCTAAGGAAAGTGATGGGGCTGTTTCAGGGGCTTTGGGGGCGGACGGTCGAGAGGGCGGTGACGAGGGGAGCAGAGAGGAGACGGGGAAAACGGAGGTGCCAGAGCAAGGTGCATCAGAGTCAGGGGCAGCAGAGACAGGCGCAGTAGAGAAAGGAGGGGGTGAGCAGGGAACAGGTGAGCAGGGAGGAGTGGAGGGAGGTGCAGGAGCAAAGGGCGAGAGAGGAGGAGCAGCAGGAGTTTCGGATGATGGGGTGAAGGAGGGAGGGGAGGCTGGTGGTGTGACGCCAGCAGAGGGATCGAAAGAGGAAGCAGGGGAGGCAGGGCAGGGAGACAAGAAGACAGAAGAAGTTGGAGGGGGAGTGGAGAGCAAGGATGAAGGGAAGACCAGTGATGGTGCTACTGGTGGTGCTGACAATGGTGGTGGTGCTGCTGCTGGAAGTGGTGATAGCAGCAGCGGCGGTGCAGAGTCATTCCCACCTCCAGACGATGCTACACCTGCTGCTGAAGCAACGCCTGCTACTCAGGCCACAGCACCTGAACCCCTCGGTGAGTATGATTACCCACGTGTATGATCCATTGGATTGGACCATGCGATGTGAATGTACTCACTGAGGGCTGCCAGCGGGGCGTGTTTCCCTTCCCCTTGGTCTGCCACACCTGACCTTTCTCATGTGTGCAACATGGCATGTCTGAAAATGTTGATTCTTTCTTCTTATGTTTCCCACCTCTTGTTCTCCCTTTCCAAGTCCCATCTTCCACTTTTGAGAATTCTCAAAAGTGATTCCCACCTCTTGTTCTCCCTTTCCAAGTCCCACCTTCCACTTTTGAGAATTCTCAAAAGTGATTCCCACCTCTTGTTCTCCCTTTCCAAGTCCCATCTTCCACTTTTGAGAATTGTCAAAAGTGATTCCCACCTCTTGTTCTCCCTTTCCAAGTCCCATCTTCCCCTCAGTCCGTCCCCATTCATGTATACATTACTCTCCCCCGTTTTCCTCACAGCGCCCTGCCTGCAGGACCTACCGAGAGTGCATCCCAGGGACAGCAGTGCGGGGCGCACAGGCAGTAATCACTTGAAACTTTCTCAATACCAAACCCCCCCCCCTCCCCCTCCCCCTCCCCCTCCTTTTTCCCTTCCCATCCCCCCTCCCCCCTCACAGCGCCTTGCAGGAACTACTCAGAGTGCATACCAGGGACGGCGGTGCGGGGCGCACAGGCAGTGGAACAGACCAACCGTGAGATGGCATGCCTGGCGAAGGAGGGCCGTTGGATCAAGTTCAACACGCCCCGCTGGCAGCCCTGGAGCAAGGACCCCAACCGCAACCCGCTTGCGCCTCACTACGGCACCTGCGACATCCTGCACCGCAGAAAGTAAGCTCTGTGGTTGTCCTGCCTGCATTGTATCGATCTTGCGAATTCTCAAAAGTGGAGCAAGGACCCCACCCGCAACCCTCTAGCACCTCACTACGGCACTTGTGACATCTTGCACCGCAGAAAGTAAGTGTTGTGGACATGCATGAATGTACTCCCTGCTCAAAGTTGATGCAAGCACCCCAACTGCAACCCGCTCGCGCCCCACTACGCCACCTGCGACATCCCGCACCGCTGCACCGCAGAAAGTAAGCTCTTGAGGTGCCTCAAAGTCACTAACACCCAACACCCAGGGGCCACTCCCATTCAATTAACAACCGCTGTACCCTTCCTCTCTCCTCCCCCCCCACCCTATCCCCCCTTCTCCCTCTCTCCCACTCTCCCACTCTCCCACTCTCCCACTCTCCCACTCTCCCCCTTCCCCCCGCCCACCACTTACACCCTCCCCCCCTTCCCCCCCTCTTCCCCCTCTTCCCCCCTCCCCCCAACCACCTCTCCCAGCAAGGGCGTGTTCGGCAAGGCAGCGGAGGACATCCGGGTGTCGGGGAACGGCGAGTGGAACGTGCGGCCGGAGCTGAAGCACACGTGGAAGGCCAGCCGCTTCTGCCCGCCGCTCAACGGGTACAACCGCGACAAGTTCTGCCGCGCAATGGGGCAGAGGAATGTCGTCTTTGTGGGCGACCAGTCTCAGCTGGCGCTGCATGATGTGTTCATTAACCACGTGCTCACCATGAAGACTGCCAAGGATATCGGCACGGCTGCAGATGCTTGGTGAGTGGTTGGGGTGATGGGGTCACCGCAGCTAGCAGGTAGCTGTTAGGTGGTAGCCTCTCAACGGGTACAACCGCGACAAGTTCTGCCGGGCTGTGGGGCACCGCAACGTGGTGTTTGTGGGGGATCAGTCGCAGCTGGCGCTGCACGACGTGTTCATCAACCACGTTCTTACCATGAAGACTGCCAAGGATATCGGCACCGCTGCTGATGCATAGTGAGTGTGTGCGGTGATCCAGTAAGTGCAGTCAGCAGGTAACAGGTAGCATCGCTGGGTGGGTGGGGCCGCAACGTGGTGTTTGTGGACGACCAGTCGCAGCTGGCGCTGCACGACGTGTTTATCAACCATGTGCTCACCATGAAGACTGCCAAGGATATTGGCACAGCAGCTGCAGATGCCTGAGAGTTCATGTCTTAAAGCTGAGTCCGTGGTGAATAGTTGTCTTGATGCGATTGCTGCAGTTACCATCACTATCAGCGCTCAGCAAGGAGAATGTGGTGCGCTCAGATCAGACCAAGTTTCAGAAAAGGGTTCTCTTCCCCATCGTGATTGACTCCATAACAACCTCCTCTCGCCCGACTTTTTCACCAGAGAGCGTCTCCTGTTTTCCGTTTCCATTTGTCTTCTGCCATTCCAGGGAGGAGAACAAGATTCCCCTGTGCCAAGCCGCACGTGGTGTGCTCGGACCACGTGCCCGGGGATTCACCTTCTGAGTGGTGCACAACAACCTGCTCTCTCCCGACCCAATCACCACGTAGCTTCTCCAAAATCCCCTGTTTTCCTTCCCTCTTTTCTGCATTCACAGGGAGGAGAACGAGATTCCATTGTGCCACCGCAAGCCCCACATCGTGTGCTCGGACCATGTACCCGGGGGATTCACCTTCCGAGTTGTTCACAACAACCTGCTCTCTCCCGACTCGGCGGGCGGCGGCAAGTTCAACCAGCGCTGGCTGCGCCACCTCGCAGAATGGAACGCCTCCATCGTCGTCCTCAACAAGGGCTTCGAGAAGAGACCAAGTGCGTTATTATTTCTTTTCTCCTTTTCCACTTTCTTGCTTTCTTTTTTCTCTCTCCCTGTTGCCAAACGTGTTGCTCGTGTGCTGTCGCCTATGTTCTAACTGTCCACTCACTCTGTCTCAACATGTTCCTTTCTCCCTTATTGTGTGTGTGTGTGTGTGTGTGTGTGTGTGTGTGTGTGTGTGTGTGTGTGTGTGTGTGTGTGTGTGTGTGCGTGCGTGCGTGTGTGTGTGTGTGTGTGTGTGATGTCACCGTTTCCTTCCATCGCCCAGCGCCCAAGTACCTGTCCACACTGCGTGCGTCGCTGGCGAAGCTACGAGAGCTGGCGCCGGACGTGCTGCTGGTGTGGCGCAACACGTGGCGCTCGTTTGCTGCTGCCATGCACACTGTAATCATTTCCACCTTTGTGTGTGCCTTTCACCCTTTTCTTTAACCCTCCAGCGCCCAAGTACCTGTCCACGCTGCGCGCGTCGCTGGCAAAGCTACGAGAGGTGGCACCAGACGTGCTGCTGGTGTGGCGCAACACGTGGCGCGGCCACCCCGAGTGCGGCAATGCCACGGAGCCACTGAAATCTGTGCCGCACAATGAGACACAGGACAGCCCGTGGAGCTACGTGGTGGAACAGAACGAAGGGGCCAAGGCCATTGTGAAGGTGCGTGCGAGGTGGGGTGTGGGGATGGGATGTTTCAGGTGAGTTTTGAGTGGACTCAAAAGTCGACTCAAAAGCCACCCAGACTGCGGCAATGCCACGGTGCCCCTCAAGGCTGTGCCGCACAATGAGACACAGGACAGCCCGTGGAGCTCTGGTGGAACAGAACGAAGGGGCCAAGGCCATTGTGAAGGTGAGTGAGGGTTGAATTGGGGACTAGGGAACCATATCGTGTGTGGTTTACAGGACAGTGGTGTTCTCCTTGCTTCCTGATCTCTGTGATGTATGTATAATTTTTGTTTTCCTGCATTTGTGTGGGGATTTTGCGTGTGACAGGAATTTGGAGGCCTTTACATTGATCTTGATTGGTCGCTGTCGATGCGCCCAGACGGGCACATCAAGAAGCTGGACGGGTCCATGGATTGCTACTACTACTGCTTGCCCGGCCCGCTCGACCACTTCATGCGGCTCTTTTATAACATGCTTCTTTTGCTGGACTCTAAAGCAGCTGCTTCCACAACTGGGCCTCAACAAACATAAGATATCGCTATATATGGATAATGCATTCCGTATTCTGTAGGACAATTATATGTAGTCCGTGTACTCAACTAGATTCGAATCCGACGTGGCGTATCGCAGATGCGATGCTTACGTGTCAGTTGCGTGGAGCGGATCTTTGCAGCCACCACCTCCTTGTCTCCCTCGTTTGTGCACTGCTGGCGCCAAGCACAAGGGGAGTGTTTGGTCACCAGCAATCCCCAAACAGAATGAACAATTTTCCCGAACCGTGCCCCAAACAGGATAGGATTTGACTGTACACCCGGCTAAACTTTATTCGAGTGGAGGGAATAATCGCGTTCTATTGAGAAACATGGCACCAGTTGATTCGTTTTGGGCAGATATGTGTGGCGCATCCATATTTCTGTTTGCACTGCCCACCTCTCGTCGCATGGCGGTGACCGTCTCCTAGGTCCCCTTTCATCCCACCCCATCCCACCCCATCCCATCAAATCTCATCCCATCCCTTCTCATCTCTTCCATCCTCGACCCTTTTCCCCCATTCGCCCCGCTTTCCCCGCTCTCCCACCATTTCTCGCGCTCACCCCGTTTGTCTTGTACTGGACTTCTTCCTTGCCTCTCAGGGCGTGGGCCCGATCGGGATTGAGCGCCTCGATCAGCCGCGATCAATAAATTCCAGGAACCCTGGAAGCCATTTTCTGGCAATCTGGGGCAGTCAGCTGATCGCGATCATCTGATCGCCCAAACTCAATCAGACCCGATTTTCACCCCGATCAGAGTCGATTTTCCTCGATCACATACGATCAATTGATCGCTACTGATCGGGGCCACAGCGACGCTTGCGAAATGCTACTCTGTATTACTAGGCATCGTCAACCCCTCACGAATTGGTGAAAGATTCCGCAAATAACAACACATGCGGAGTGGGATTGGCGATATTACAGGGATACAAATGTTTTCGCAAGGTTCCGTCAGCTCGCAATTCTCGCTAAAATGGGGCAGAAAATGCCTGGTAATTAGACACCGCTTGCTGTGCAGCCAGCGCGAATGTTCTATAAAAATTTCTGCTGATCGGGCGGCTCGGGCAATGTGATCACAAGCAACCCGATCAGATCCGCCCCGATCAGATCAGTCCCGATCAAACCCGATTGGGCCCACGCCCTCATCTCATGCCCCCCCATTCCCATTCCACTCCACACCACAGCCATTTTTACCGCTCGCGTTACTCCGAACCCGCCAATCAAATGGATCTCCCACTTCCCCCTATCCCACGCCAGGGTGCCTTTCCAATCCAAATCTTCCTTTCCTGCCATCCGAGGCGCAACGCGCAAACCTCCTGAAACCCTCCCCGCTTGTCCTTTCCCCCCTTCCCCCCACCCCCCCCCCCCCCCCCTCCATCCCTTCCCCTTTTATGAGCCAACAACACCAGGGGAGAGGGCAAGGCAAGTGGCGGCTGTCCATCCCATGCATTCTCTCTTTCACGCTCATTTTACAGCGAATCTCATTACAGCACTGTGAGGGAAGGGCAGAGGAAAGGGATCAAGGCTTGGGGCGGGGTCTAGACTAGACTGTAATTCGTTTGTGAGCTTTGCGTGCGCATAGGAGGCGGAGACTCTCAGCGGCCGCAAAGCACGGCAGTATGGCGGCGCTCGTTGTTCTGCAGGTGCCGGCGCAGTTATGCCTGCCCGGCGCGCCGAGCAGCCGCGCGATTTCCGCTGTGAGATCTGCCGCGCAGAGCCGCGAGAGCGTCAGAAGCCGCCGCGTGAGCCTCGCGCCCTGTCCCAGCGCGCGCAGCCGCATTGGCGCTAGCGGGCGCATGGGCGCGGGAAGCAGCGCTCTGCACAGCGATGAGCGCTGGCGCAAACTCCTTTCCGCCACCGCGAAGCCGAAATGGGGACATAGTAAGTTGCTAGTTCGACGATGGGGGACGCAGAAGTTACCAGCTTGTCGAAATGAAGTAATGCTTGGGCCTCAGCATAAAGTATCGCGTGGACGTAAGCAGACGTAAACGGAATCAGACGATAACGGAAGCAGACGTTAACGACAGTAGGAATGACGTAACGAAAACGTAGACGTGTTTGGGATCGCGTCAATGGGGCCAAATACGTAATGGCGGAATGACGGACAGAGCCGCAGTAGGAGCGTAGTGGACTGTACACGGACGAGTCAGCACTCCGCGAGAATTGCGTCGTTCGCTCATGTGTCGCACAGGCGTCGTTAGCTCATGTGTCTCTCCGCCTGTTCGCTCCGCCTGTTCCTTATTTGCGTCGTTTCCCCCACCGCCCCCTTCCCCCCCTCCCCCCCTTTCTCCCGTGTCGTCCGCGCCAGCGTTCAAGCGCACCACGCCCAGATGGACGGCAGCAGTCCACTTGTAATCAACCCGCTCCCCTTTTGTCCCCCTCTTTCCCCCCCCCCCCCCCCCCCCCCCCCCCCCCCTTCCCCCCTACCCCTATCTCTCCCTTTTCGTCCGCGCCAGCGTTCAAGCGCACCACTCCCAGATGGACGGCCACTGTCGTCTTTTGAATCGACTCATTTCCCCTCCGCCCCCTCTCCCCCCTTCCAACCTTCCCACACCAACCCCCCCTTCCTCCTCGTCCGCGCCAGCGTTCAAGCGCACCACGCCCAGATGGACGGCTGCTGTCCCCTTTCAAGTCGACTCAACCCGCCGCCCTTTTGTCTCCCTCTTCCCCCCTCCTTCCCTCCCACCCTCTCTCCCGTGTCGTCCGCGCCAGCGTTCAAGCGCACCACGCCCAGATGGACGGCTGCAGTCGTGCCCTCCACCAAGCCCTCCAAACGGTCTGTTTCCCGTCCCATCGTATCATATCGTATCGTATCGTATCCTCTCGCAACGCATCGTTTCGCATCCTATCCTATCCCATCGCACCGTATTGTTTCGTATCGTGTTCCAATGTGCTCTCCCCCCTTCCCCCTCCCTCCTTTTCCCAAGCCCTTTTTTTCGTCACCCCCTTTCCAGATCCCTTACCAGCAGTGCTCAACTTCCTTACTTCCTCTCTTTCTCCCTTTCTCCCTCCCTCCCTCCCTCCCTCCCTCCCTCCCTCCCTCCCTCCCTCCCTCCCTCCCATTCGTGCGTCTATCAGCCAATCGGAGCCTCAGCACTCCTCCCCCTCTCACCACAATGCTCACAGCGCCAACACCACCAACACCAGCAACAGCAGCAGCAGCACCGGCAGCAGCAGCAAGAGCAGGGCGATCGCCACAGTGCCGCGCGCACCTTCCGCGCCCATCCCGCGCGAGCCGGCCACTCGCCGCCTCTTCGCCAGCTTCTCCCGATCCGGCCGGAAACGCCCCCTGGTGCGCGCACTTGGGTTGGGGGGTGAAACGCCCCCTGGTGCGCGCACTTGGGGTTGGGGGGTGAAACGCCCCCTGGTGCGCGCACTTGGGGTTGGGGGCTGAAACGCCCCCTGGTGCGCGCACTTGGGGTTGGGGGCTGAAACGCCCCCTGGTGCGCGCACTTGGGGTTGGGGGGTGGGGGGGAGGGGCGGGGGAGAGGAAAGGGGGGGGGATGGGGGTGTTTCGGGGAAATGTTAGGGAGAAGCGATAGGGGGTTGGGGGAAAATGCTGGATGGGAGTGCTGGAGGGCCGGCGACCCCTTTCCCTCTACTCTCACTCCCGTCCCTCCCCTCCACGTTTCGTTTAACCTGGCCGTTTCCTTTCCCTCCCTTCCCCCTCGCTTCTCCTCCCCTTCAACCTCTCTTCTCCCTCTCTTCCCCCTCCCTCTCCCCTCTCTTCCCCCTCCCTCTTCTCTCCCGCCCTCCGTCCCTCCGTCCCTCCGTCTCTCCGTCCCTCCGTCCCTCCGTCTCTCCGTCCCTCCGTCCCTCCGTCCCTCCGTCCCTCCGTCTCTCCGTCCCTCCGTCCCTCCGTCCCTCCGTCTCTCCGTCTCTCCGTCCCTCCGTCCCTCCGTCTCTCCGTCCCTCCGTCCCTCCGTCCCTCCGTCCCTCCGTCCCTCCGTCTCTCCGTCTCTCCGTCTCTCCGTCCCTCCGTCCCGCCTTGCGTCCCGCCCGCTGGCCCTCCGCCTGTTCACTCTCAGTGGAAGCAGGCGGGCATGTGGATGGCAGGGGCGGCAGCGGCAGCAGTGGGCGTGCAAGTCAGCGCGCAAGTGCTGGAGGTGAGTCCCTGCGTTGACTCGCTTGACTCTGCTTGACTCGCTGCCTTGGTAACTCGCTGACTGGTCAACTTGGCTCAATAAGCAAGGCTTATTTTTGAGGCGCCTCATAAGCAAGGCTGATCGGCACACAACACGATCTAGTAATTCCCATCCCTCTCTCCTCATCTCTCCCCCCCCCATGTACCCTCCCCTTTTCCCTTCCCCTTCCCCTCCCCCTCACCCTCCCCCTCCCTCTCCTCCTCACCCTCCTCCCTCCCCCCTCTCCTTCTCCCCCATCCCCCCAGGCGCTCGACAAGGTGCCGTTCCTAGCAGATCTCGAGGTGGTGGTGGGCACGGGTGTGGCTCTCAACTTCTCCATCCCCCCTTCCCCCACTCGCTGCCCTTCCTCTCCCTACCCTCTTCCCCCTATTCAATCCCCGCCCCACCAACTTTCCCCCAGGCGCTCGACAAGGTGCCGTTCCTAGCAGATCTCGAGGTGCTGGTGGGCACGGGCGTGGCGCTCAACTTCCTCTCCTCCTACGTGCGCGGAGGGCCGGGTGGGTGCGCTCGCGCTGGGGGCAGGGGAAGTGTGGGGGGCTGGGGGAAGAGGGGTGAGGCGGGCGGCGGATACGGGAGGGGAAATGGGGGAGGGGGAATGGGGGAGGGGAAATGGGGGAGGGGAAATGGGGGAGGGGAAATGGGGGAGGGCTGGCTGGTGAGTGCACTGGCGGATCTGTTGACCATTGTGGGTTCATTTCTCAGAAGTACGTTTTTACTAATGTGTCAGGGCTGGCTGGTGAGTGAGTACAGCGGCAGGGCGGATCTGTTGACCATTGGATAAAAGTGTGGTTCACGTGTAGAAGTGGTGTGTGTTTTGAGAGTTGGTGTAAAACACCACATTGGTTCACGTGTCAAAGTGGGGTGTGTGTGTTTTGAGACGTCTCAAAACAGCACTTGTATCACGTGTTGACCATTGTGGGTTCATTCCTCACCTCAGAATGCAACGAGCTGGTGATTTAGCCCTCCCATCCGTTCCTATCCCATCCCGTGTCATGCCATTTGTTGAATGAATAAATGAGAATTAATTACTAAACACACACACACACACACACCACACACACACACACACACACACACACACACACACACACACACACACACCACACACACACACACACACACACACACACACACACACACACACACACACACACACACACACACACACACACACACACACACTCTTTCCCTCCCCCATCTCCCCCTTTCCTGCTCCCCCTCGCTCCCCCCCCACCTTTCCCTTCTCCCCAGCGCGAGCGCGAGTGCAGGCGAGCATAGACAGCATAGTGGATGCCATCAGGGGCTTCGACACTCCCACCGACTCGGACCTTCAGCTGCAGCAACTCATGCCCCGCTCTCCTGCTCCCCTTCGCTTCCCCCCCTCTTTCCCCCCTCTCACACCACCCCTCCAGCGCGAGCACGAGTGCAGGCGAGCATAGACAGGATAGTGGATGCCATCAGGGGCTTCGACACTCCCACCGACTCGGACCTTCAGCTGCAGCTGCAGCAACTCGTTGCCGACACCACCGTCGCTGCTGCTCCCTCCCTCGCCTCCGCCTCCGCCTCTGCCTCTTCCTCCTTCTCCCCTCCCTCTTTCTCCTCCGCGTCATCCCCCTCCGCCTCCTCCTCCTCGCTGTCCTTTCCTGCTCGCATTGCCGGTACAGGGCTGTTCAAGGCAAGGGGAAGCCAGAGCACCAAGCAAGAGGGAGGAGGGCAGGGGAGGCCAGCCGAGTTGACCTTTGGAGGGAATGGGGGAGAGGGAGAGAGAGGAGGAGAGGGAGAAGGCGAGGAGGTGGTGCTGGTGAAGAAACAGTCGCTGATCAGCCGATTGGTGGATTTTGTCCGGGGCAAGGAGGTCAAGACAAAACGTGCCACCCTCGCGCTGCAAGCCGAGGCCGCCCGGTCGCAGGCGCTGCAGTCCCGGGCGGCGGATCTGAACCAGTCGCTGCAGGCCAGCAAGCGGGCGGCGCAGGCTGCCGCCCAGAAGCTGGAGGAGCTGCGGGCGGCGAATGGGCGGCTGCAGGTGGAGCGGAGCGACGCGCGGGCGGCGATGGGTGGACTGCAGCAGGAAGTGGCGTCGCTGTCTGCCGCCCTGGGGAACCTCACGGCTGATACAGACGCTCTGAAGCAGTCCAAGGAGAAGGTGAGGGAGATGGACAAGAGAGAGAGAGAGAGGCTGCGGGAACCTATATCTGAGTCAACTCAAAAAGAGGGTGAGAGTGCAGGACGAGAAAGACAGAGGCTGTAGGAGCATCCTAACGACCTGACACACTTGAAGGATTCTTGACGACCATCCTTGCTTCCCTCTCTTCCCAGTCCCCATGTCTCCCACCGCTCCTATTTTCCCTCATTCCCCACTGACCGGTCCCGCATTCCCGTTCCCTTCTCCTTCCTTTCCCCGTGTCCTGAGTCGTCTCAAAAAAGGAGTGTTTTGAGACGTCTCAAAACAGTCCCCCCCATCCCTGCATTATCCGTCCTCCGTTCCCCATTCCTACTCCCCGCTCCTTTCCTTCCATGTGTTTTCTCTTTATTTCCACCTCCCAATCCCCAGCTCGCCTCGAAGGTCCAGTCAGCAATCACTGAGAACCAGTCACTGCAGGCCAGCCTGGCATCGGCAAAATCCCGGCAGCAGCAGCAGGTGGCGGCAGCAGAGGCGATGCGCGCGCAGCTGAGGGCCGCCGAGGCCACACTGGGCGAGCGGGAGGAGGCACTCAAGCGCGCACAGGCGGAGAGCGCGCAGGAAAAGACGACGTATGCCGCCCGGCTTCAGGGCGTGAAGGTGGGTGTGGTTGCATGCTCATATGCGTGCACACAAGTCAAGACAAGGCGCCCACCCACCCACCCACCCACCCACCCGCGTACATCCCTTCTTTCCCTCACTCGCCGCTTCTTCTCTTCCCCCCTCTCTCGCTTATCTCACTTGTTACTACTTTGTTCAATGCAGAAGGAGAGGGACGAAGCATTGGCAGCGGTGGTGGTGGTGGAGGGGCGGCTAGCAGCACTGGAAGCCACGCTGCAGCAAGCAGCACAGACCCGGGCAGAGATCTTCAAAAACAACGCAGAGCTCAAAGCACGACTCGAGTCCGTCTTGCAGCAAAACCGCGACCTTGCCACCCAGGCCGCCCGGATGGAGGAGAGCGGGCGGCAGGTTTCGGCGGTATTTGAGCAGCGGGAGGGTGCGCTGGTGCAGCAGATCCGGAAACGGGAGGCTGAGCTGGCGGCGCAGAAGAAACGGGCGGCTGCTGAGCTGGCGGGGGTGGAATCCAGGCTGGAGGGGGAGCTGAGGAAGGCTGAGGAGGAGAAGCAGAAATACATGCAGGCGTGTGATTGGCTGGAGAAGCAGCTGGCGTCTCTCAAGGCCGAGAACGAGACGATGATCGCCGACCTTCGCTCATCTCTGGCGTTCGCCGAGCAACGGGCCAAGGAGGAGGGTGCTAAGGTGGTTCAGCTGCGCGCTGAGCTGGAAAAGCAGACAAAAGATGCCGACCGGCACAAGGCGGCGCTGAAAAAGAAGGTTGCTGAGCTGGAGGGCAAGCTCGGATCCAGCCAATCGCAGCTCTCCATTGCCGAGAAGGCTCTTGCCACTGCTACAGCTGCAGCCAATCGCGTGAGGACAGCTGGCAAGGATGCTTTGGAGGGGTTGGTGGTGCCGGCTGTAGCGCCTGGTAAGGGGACGGCTGTAGCAGCAGGAGGAGCAGCTGTAGCAGGAGCAGGAGCAGTGGCAGGGAAAGCAGTGACAGGAAAGGAGCAAGGGAAGAAGAGTGGGAAGGTTGTTGTGAGCAAGAAGCAGCAGGAGGAGGAGAGGGTGGGGCGGATGAGGGAGGGCGATCTGAAGGTGTACGCTCGAGCCATCTTCCCTGCATATGTGGATGTGAGGGGACCGGCCCTGGAGCAGACCCGAGGAGTCAACGCTCTTGTGCTGGTATGTGCACTGCCCTTCCCTCCTTGCTCAACACCTGTAGCCTGCCACATCGTTCCTTCCTCAACGCTCTCGTGGTGGTATGCGCACTCGCTGCTGGTATGCGCACTCGTGCTGGTATGCGCACTCGCTGCTGGTATGCGCACTCGCTGCTGGTATGCGCACTCGTGCTGGTATGCGCACTCGTGCTGGTATGCGCACTCGTGCTGGTATGCGCACTCGTGCTGGTATGCGCACTCGCTGCTGGTATGCGCACTCGTGCTGGTATGCGCACTCGTGCTGGTATGCGCACTCGTGCTGGTATGCGCACTCGCTGCTGGTATGCGCACTCGTGCTGGTATGCGCACTCGTGCTGGTATGCGCACTCGCTGCTGGTATGCGCACTCGCGCTGGTATGCGCACTCGCGCTGGTATGCGCACTCGTGCTGGTATGCGCACTCGTGCTGGTATGCGCACTCGTGCTGGTATGCGCACTCGTGCTGGTATGCGCACTCGTGCTGGTATGCGCACTCGTGCTGGTATGCGCACTCGTGCTGGTATGCGCACTCGTGCTGGTATGCGCACTCGCTGCTGGTATGCGCACTCGTGCTGGTATGCGCACTCGTGCTGGTATGCGCACTCGCTGCTGGTATGCGCACTCGTGCTGGTATGCGCACTCGTGCTGGTATGCGCACTCGTGCTGGTATGCGCACTCGTGCTGGTATGCGCACTCGTGCTGGTATGCGCACTCGTGCTGGTATGCGCACTCGTGCTGGTATGCGCACTCGTGCTGGTATGCGCACTCGTGCTGGTATGCGCACTCGTGCTGGTATGCGCACTCGTGCTGGTATGCGCACTCGTGCTGGTATGCGCCCTCTGCCCTCCGCCATCTATTCTTTCCCTCCGTTCATCTCCCCGTTCATCTCCCCGTTCATCTCCCCGTTCATCTCCCCGTTCATCTCCCCGTTCATCTCCCCGTTCATCTCCCCGTTCATCTCCCCGTTCATCTCCCCGTTCATCTCCCCGTTCATCTCCCCGTTCATCTCCCCGTTCATCTCCCCGTTCATCTCCCCGTTCATCTCCCCGTCTCACCCTTTTCCTTCTTGTCTTTGCATGCTGTTTCCCATTCTTCTCCCCATGCGCGCCACAGGACATGGTGAGCAAGGGAGCGGAGGAGCAGTGGGCGCGGAAGCATGTGACAGAGTCGCTGCTCAAGCCCGCCCTGGCCGCTGCTGATGCTGCTGCCTCCGCTGCAGCAAAGACCACCGCTTCTGCTGGCAGTAACAAGGCAGGCAAGAAGGTACGAAGCGCGCTCGCTCACTCACTCACAAACACACAATAGGAGCGGAGGAGCGGTGGGCGTAGAATGGAAGCATGTGAGAGAGGCGCTGCTCAAGCCTGCCCTGGCTGCTGCTACTGCTGCAGAGACGAGCACTGCTGCTGCCACTGCTGCTGCAAAGTCGAGCACTGCTGCTGGCGCTGGCAAGATCGGCAAGAAGGTGAGCAAGGAGGCGCTTCAGTTACATGCAACGGCCAGTGCAATAATGCATCCAGTCTTGTCCCTCCCTCCCCCGTCCTCCTTTTGAGGCTCCTCAAAAAACGTCCTCCTTTTGAGGCGCCTCAAAAGGTGAGCAAGGAGGCGCTTCAGTTACATACATGCAACGGCCAGTGCAATAATGCTCACCCGTCCAGTCTCGTCCCTCCCTCCCCCGTCCTCCTTTCCTCCCTTTTGACCTTTGAGGCGCCTCAAAGGTTGCCTCATACATCCACTCTAACCCCCCCTCTTCCTCCTCCTCTCCTTTCTGCTTAACTGTGAATCCTTTTGCTCTCACCCGCACAGAGCGTGAGCAAGGAGGCGCTGCAGTCGTATGCGAGGGCCATCCAGCACGCTTACATCGACGATTCCATCCCTGTGAAGGAGCAGCAGGCGGGCATGCAGCTGCTCGTGCAGGTGAGTGCAGGCAGTGGTGGGGGGAGGGGTGATTGCAGTGAAAAGGTGACTGGCGGGTGATTGCAGTGAAAAGGTGACTGGCGGGTGATTGCAGTGAAAAGGTGACTGGCGGGTGATTGCAGTGGGAGGGGAGGGACGTTTGCTGGGGAATGGGCCATCCAGCACGCCTATATTGACGACTCCATTCCTGTGAAGGAGCAGCAGGCGGGCATGCAGTTGCTCGTGCAGGTGAGCAGGGCTAAGTGGACACACACACACACGCGCGCGCACACACACACACACACACACGCACACACACACACACGCACGCACACACACACACACACACACGCACACACACACACACGCGCACACACACACACACACACACGCACACACACACGCACGCACACACACACACACACACGCACTCGCGCGCACGCACGCACACACGTGTGTGCGCACGCACGCACACACACACACACACTCAGATACGTGCTCACAGGAGTTGGTGGCGATGGGCGGAGTGGAGGAGTGGGCGCGCAGCTTCGTGCATGACTCCATGGCTGCCACAGCTGCCTGGCCCCCCAAGTGATTGATGTTCTCAAGGTCCTTATGACACACACTCACTCTCTCCCTCCTGTTCATTATGGCACACTCACTCTCTCCCTCTCTCACTCACACACCCGTTTCGCACGTGCGCGCACAGGAGCTGGTGGCGATGGGCGGAGAGGAGGAGTGGGCGCGCAGCTTCGTGCATGACTCGGTGGCCGCCATACCTGCAAGCCCGCGCAAGTGAATGAAATGACAGTCCAGACCAGACAGATGCACTGCAACCCAGGAGTGGAAATGCAATGTACTACAAAGCAGGGTGAACCTGCAAGGAGGGTCCCCGTCAGCCCTATTTATGGATGCAGTTTCGAGTCATCAGCTCTTGATGCGCTTTAGAGGGGGACACATTTTCAAGTGAATGACTCTTGGCGTCTCAGGGCATGGCAAGGCATCCTTGCAGGCTACAACTGTGAGGGTTGCTGTGTGGAACTGCTTTGGAACGTGATTTGGAATGTGGGCGAGCGAATCTGTCTGGGAGTCACATTGTACTGCGTAATTGCTTTGTAAGCTGGTGTGTAACTTGTATGCATAAGAATAAAAACATCCCAAGAGGAGCTTGCAGAGTGCACTTCGTAATTAATTATAAAAGGAGAAAGAAACCCACCAACAACCTCAATACACTTAACTCGTCACACCTCATTTTTTTACACCCTTGTCTTTCGTTAATTCCTGCTAGCACAATAATCGTGGCCTCGCTGCACCTCGCCCAACCCCACCTCACCCCACCTCACTGCACCGCACCTCACTCCCTTTTTTCCACCAGAAACAGCCCCCAGGCCTGGTCCCCATCCCTCACTCGCTTCATCTTGGCTGTCCATCCCGCCAGCAGCTGCTCATCCTGATGGTCGATTTGTTGGCATTGTTAAGGGTGTGGGAAAGGGACAAGAGAGACAGACATACGGTAAGTAATGAAAGCATGACCAAATGATGGTGCGAATTCTGGCTACCGTAATCATGTCGAAAGGGAAAGCATCTGCTTGCGGTGTTTCAGTGAGGGAGTCCTAGACCAGATCGATGGAAGGGGAGTGGAAACGCACCGAGGCTGATGGCTGGGTGCTCTCTGTGTCAGAGAGCAGACGAGCCCTCTCCTCCTCCAGAATACCAAGGAACTGAGCCGAGGTGTTAAGAGGGAAGAGGCCACAGGAGAGGGGGGAGAAAGGTGGAATGGAGAATGATGGATGTGTGCTGTCGGTGTCACAGAGCAAGCGAGCTCTCTCCTCCTCCAGAATACCAAGGAACTGAGCTGAGGTGGGCATTAGGGAGGTGCAGGGCAAGGGGGGCCAAGAGAGGGAAGTGGGGAAATGGGTACAAGGGGAGGAAGGGCGAAGGAGTGATGCCGATGGCTATGTTCCGCTGGTGTTTGAGAGTGAAGGAACCTCACTCTCCTCCGGGATACCACTGATTTTTGAGTCGACTCAAAAAAATTTCCGCTGGTGTTTGAGAGTGAAGGAACCTTTTTCTCTTCCAGGATACCACTGAACCGAGCAGAGGTGGATGTTAGGGAGGAGCGACTTGTTCCCCTTCACTTGTTGAAGGGGAACAAGTGGGGAAAGACAGGCATGGGTTTGGAGGGGGAGAAAGGGGGGGTTGGGGAAGGGATGCGGGAGAGGGTGGTTGATGGTTTAGCAACAATCGCCAAGTTAGTGATACAACTGGTAGGCCAGGTAGCAACAATCACAACAACATGTGATGATTGTGGTGGTACAGTTAGTCCGACAAGTATATGATATGATCGGGTTCTACCTTACGAATTTTTTAAGAATTCTAAAAAATCACTCACAAGGGTTCTACATGAAGAATTCTCAAAAGTATGAGCGAAATTAAGGAACGCACCCAACGAAAGCTGGTTATGAGAGAGGTACTGAACCTTGGCCCGGAAACAGCATGAGATTTCGCAGAGGCTTGGCCTCAGAAGACTGAATCACCCACCTGCATCTTAGCTGCATCCCACCTGCTGAGATCGGTCTTCCGCCTTGAGCACGTGGAATCCAGCTGTCTGGAGCATCTGCAAGGGTGAGGGGCGGAGGAGTGTGCTGAAGTGGAGAATGCGACTGGCTCAGAACACACCATCCCCCTGTGAACGGTCCCACGCAATTCTGTCCTGAGCGGTCCCACGCAATTCTGTGGCACCCTTTCGAATCTCTATCTGCACGCTCACCAGCAGATTTGTACGGAGGATTTTACATAAGAACGGTACATTGCAAGTCTGTTGCTGTTTGGAAAACAGACCGTACTATATGAACAAACGTACCTCACTGTAGCGCTTGACGGTGACCAGGTGGTAACCGCGTTGTGCCACGTAACCCCTGAACTCCTCCGACCACTGCTCCTCCTTGTCCTTTCCGCTACAGTAGTCCGTGATCAGCACTCTGCCGCCCGGTTTCAACCAGCGGTGGAAGCGGGAGAACAGGAAAGGCTTGTCCTGTAGTGGGGAATGGTGGGGGAGACATATAGTGGGATATATGACACCATAGCATGGATGGACGGCAACCATAGAAACACACTGGTCTTGCAATTTTTGGACGACTCAAAGTCTTGTTTTGACGAATCTGTCCTAGTTGCCCCAAATTCTTTCATCGACTCAGATAGTAGATGGTTGCCCGAACCAGCATGACCACCACTTGCCTGGATGTGCAGCAGCCCTTGTGAAAGTTTTTGGGAGTTTCTAAAAAAATCTCTCAGAGAAATCAAATGGCTGGCTGGCTAGCTGGCCGAACCTGCATGACCCCTGGCTTGCCTGGATGTGCAGCAGCGTGTCGCGGGTGTAGATGCAGTTAAATGAAGCATCGGGGAAGTTTCTGGTCAGGCAGTCGGCCACTTCAAACTGCAACACGGGCACGGATGCTGACGTGGATGCTGACATGGGTGCTGACGTGGCATTTGCTGCACGGATGCTGCGGGATCGCTCGATGGCAAGAGAGATCTGGTATGATGGTGAAAGATCGAAGAGAGCGAGTGGGAGAAATGATCGGTGAGGACGAGGGTGCATGTTGGGATAGATTGAAAGGCGCGGGGGGGGGAGGGGGAAGAGGAGGAGGGGGGGTAAGAGCAATGTGGAAAGAACTCTGGGATTGACCAAGGGATCGGCCAAAAGGGCTACAAGCAAAATGAGATGTTTGTTTGGTGGGTCAACACACCCATGACCTCCCAAGCAACTTTGCTTGTAGCCCTTCTGGCCGAACCCGAGGCCAATCCCAGACAATCCCAGAGTTCTTTCCACAATCAACGCCTTTTTATTTCCCCTAAGGTGCAGGCTGCAGAGGAGGCAACAGAATGGTAGAAGACAGAAGGTCACCTTGAAGATCGGTGTGGCAGCATTGCATAGTGGTAATGAACCGTGAAGGGAGAATGCAGCGGACTAGACCATACTGTTTGGGCTTCGTAGCAGATGTGTGGGTAGCTTTGTGTGTGTGTGTGTGTGTGTGTGTGTGTGTGTGTGTGTGTGTGTGTGTGTGTGTGTGTGCATGCCCGCACGTGTGTTTTTGGTGACTGCGTATATGCATGTGTTCATGCATGGATGTGTAAAACAAAGTACCATGTAGGAGAGAGGTCGATGGCATGCATGCTACTTTCATGGGTCTCAGTCATCAGCAGCGCACTGCCTCCCCAGCCCACACCCCACATGTCTGTGTATGTACATGCAAGAACATGTGCATGTGTATAAGTGTGTGCACGCATACATGTATGTGTGAAAGGCACAGTACCATGGTAGGGGAGAGGTCGATGGCATGCACGCTGGCGCCATAGGTCTCAGCCATGAGCAGTGCGCTGCCCCCCAGCCCACACCCAACATCCAGCACCCGATGCTTTGGGGAGAGCGAGAGCAACGGGAGGAAAGAGAGCGTTGATGCTGTAGGGGTGGCAGGGAGGTGGGGTCAAGAGGTTGTATGAGAGGAGGGAAGGAAGGGAAGACCAAACAAAAGCATAACAGATGATGAGAAGGAAGGAATGGAGCATTGGTGGGACTCGTCAAATGAGATTAAGACAACTGTTGACTCCCGTTGACTCTTATTGACTCTCATTGACTCACCTCGACCGCCAGTGCTGACGAATCCGCGCCCGTAGATGTGCTCGTAGCGCAGAATGCCCTGCAGGCTGTACTGCTGCTGTGCCTCCTCGCTCCCCTTTTTCTCCTCCTCCTCCCTGTTCCCGTCGCTCTCCCTGCTCTCCTGCGTGCTGCTCTGGGTGGTGTGAACTCCCTTCTGAGTGCTGTGCTGAACTTTCTGCCACACCCAGCACACCTGCGTCTGGCACCCCTTGACACGAGAGTATGCTACTACGCTCCTCATCGCCCTCAGTCTGAACCTCCACTCCCATCCCTCATCCTGCCCTCCTTCATAATTCTCCTGCTCCTGCTGCTGCAGCTGGCACTGGTGCTGGTTGATTAGGCGGTGAGCTTCTGAGAAGGCCTGGAGTGACCAGGACGGTGGAGAGGCATGTGCGATATGAATGAGATAAGATGATTCATGTGCAGAGATTAGAATAGGATGGGGTTATATTACTAAAGAACACCCGAAAAAAAAAAGGAAGGAACTAAGGGGACAGCAGGGGAAGAATTTGAGTGCCAGGAATTTGAGGCGTCTTAAAGCCGACCTGGCAGTAGAAGAGCGGGTGGCGGTACAAGAGGAGGAGGACAGGGGAGAAGTATCAAAGCCCACCTGGCAGTAGAAGAGCGGGTGGCGGTACAAGAGGAGGAGGACAGGGGAGAAGTATCAAAGCCCACCTGGCAGTAGAAGAGCGGGTGGCGGTACAAGAGGAGGAGGACAGGGGAGAAGTATCAAAGCCCACCTGGCAGTAGAAGAGCGGGTGGCGGTACAAGAGGAGGAGGACAGGGGAGAAGTATCAAAGCCCACCTGGCAGTCGAAGAGCGGGTGGCGGTACAAGAGGAGGAGGACAGGGGAGAAGTATCAAAGCCCACCTGGCAGTAGAAGAGCGGGTGGCGGTAGTGGGTGGGGTTGGAGCGGCGCTGCTGGCTGCCAGACTGCTCGAGGCACGACTCTCGGAAGAAGAAGAGACCCCTGAGGGGCAGGGCATGGAGCAGCACGCGTGCCAACGCATGCACCTGTGTGTGGGGGAAGAGGAAGAGGGGCAGGTGATGGGGGAATGGGAGTGCTGGCACCCTAAACCCTGCTGACTGCTCGAGGCATGACTCTCGGAAGAAGAAGAGACCCCCTGGGGGCAGGGCGTGCAATAGCATCCGCGCCAACGCATGTACCTGTGGGTGATTGGGGTTAAGAGGGGGATGGGGCAAGGGGGAATGGGAGTGCTGGCTGGCTGCCAGACTACTACTTGAGGCACGACTCGTGGAACAGGCCCCCTGGGGGGCAGGGCGTTTTTGAGACTGTCTCAAAAACACCCTCTCTACCCCTGGGGGCAGGGCGTGGAGCAACATCTTTGCTAACGCGTGCACCTGTGGATGGTTGGGGGAGACAAAGGTGAAGGACGGTGCAGGAAATTATGAGTGAGTGGGCTTGAGGGGGGGGGGAGGAGGCGGTCAGAGAGAAAGGGTGGAAAGAGGAGCAGCAAAAGAGAGATTGCGGATGGCAAATGGAGGTGAGTGAGTCAAGCTAGTCAAGTGAGTCAAGCTAGTCAAGCTAGTCACGAAAGCCAGGAGATAGACAATAACCTTGCCTTGGCTCTTTGGACTCTTTGCTCTTGGGAGTACCATACCTCATAGTCCGAGAGGTACATGAGCAGCCAATTGGAGAACACCAGGTCCGGCGCCAGCCTAGTCAGCAGGGCAGCTGACGTGGCATCTGCCACGTCAGCACAGACGAAGTCCACGTTGGGGTGCTGGTACGCATGTGCTTGCACATTCTGCCAGGGGATGCGTGGAGTTGGGTGTTAGCTCAACTGGTCAATACAGAATCCAATTCAGTCAACACATTCAATCCAGCCAAAGCAGTCAATTCAATCAGCTCAGTCATCTCAGTCAACGCAGTCAACCCACTTCTACCAGGGCAAAACCAGACGGACCACACAGAACAACCGAGACTGACCGCAGCAAGGGCGTGCGGCAGGAAGTCAAGGGCAGTGAGCCACGTGGCCCTGCATGCCAGGTCAGCAGTGAATCGGCCAATACCCGCCCCCAGCTCCACCACCACCTTGGGTCGGTCCAGTGGCAGTGGTGTGAGGCCGTCAATGATACCCAGGATCTGAAGGCGGGATGCAGGCGAGGAGGAGAGGTTAGTTGCCGCGCTGATCAGTAAAGAAACAGGGGAGAGCACAGTAGATAGAGCAGCGTACGTGGGTCAAGGGAGTCAAGCAAGTCAAAGCTCACCTCGGGGCGGTCAAGGGAGTCAAGCAAGTCAAAGCTCACCTCGGGGCGGTCAAGGGAATCAAGCAAGTCAAAGCTCACCTCGGGGCGTTCAAGGGAGTCAAACAAGTCAAAGCTCACCTCGGGGCGTTCAAGGGAGTCAAGCAAGTCAAAGCTCACCGGGGCATTCAAGGGAGTCAAGCAAGTCAGCCTGAGCATCCAGCATCATTGACGCCACCGACATGACAGATGGCTCCTTCCCCCCGTCACCCTGGTCAACAGAGTCAACGTGGTCAAAGCTCACCTCGGGGCGTTCAAGGGAGTCAAGCAAGTCAGCCTGGGCATCCAGCATCATGGACGCCACCGACATGACAGCTGGCTGCTTCCCTCCGTCACCCTGGTCAGCCGAGTAAACGCAGTCAACGTGGTCAAAGCGGTCACCGCGGCCATTCCTGACAGAGAATGTGCTTTCTCCAGCCGTTGGTGCCACCGCGATGCCATTGCCATTTGTGTGCTCGCAGTTTCCTTCTGACTTAGAGCCTGGCAATTTAGGACCAGTCATGGTAGTTTTGGTCGAGGTAGGCACTGAATCCTTAGTGTGTATCATGTTGGTCGTCAGGTCTTGGCCGTTAGTGAAATTGTCCTGGGAAGAGACATACTCCACTGTTGGATTGTCATTGATTGCAGCGGCATTGCCATTGCCACCGCTGATCTCCCGCCAATATTGTGCCTGCGTGATTCGTTCCACTGAGTGACAGGAGAAAAAAGATGGTAGAGGAACTTAGCGGGAGCTGAGACGTTTCAAAACAGCAGGAGTTTTCCATCGAAACACAATGGGATTTTTTGAAAATGATTTTTATGCTGCGAAAAATTGGATATGAAGTTTACACTGCAGAGCTCAATCGTTAAGACATACTCGGAAGAGAAACCGATTCCTCAGATCTCAGAGTGGATTGAAACAAAAAAATCTCTTCCGGAATGGCGAGTTGAACTTCTGCTCTGTGTGTTCAAAGCTATTACAAACATGCACAGAAATGAGTTGTGATGCAATGGGCGGAGGTTTCAACTATTCCTGCTTATGGGCGGATTGGCGTTGGTTGATGCCATTCCAGCAGCAGCTGCTGCTGGTGCTGGTGCTGTCAGTGTGCTAGCAACCCTGTTTTTTGTGTGTGACTTCTTGTGACAGGCAGTCAGGTAGGGGGGCGTTGCTTTTCAGGCTTCAATCTCACAATTCCGAACCAATTCAATGTTGTGACATTCGCGATTCGTGCAAGTTGGCGGTTCGGAAATTCCAAGAAGAGGAAACAGCCATTAGACGAGAAACACCTGTCCAATTCCGTTATTAGCGCCATCGACACCATATAAATTATTTTTCAAGTACCAGAGCATAATGAGTTTTACGTGCTGGTTCACGTTTTTCCTACCGAGCAGATTTTCCCCCCGTGGAGCCTCAAATCTCGCGTTCCGTCCAGACTTTTGGGTACTGATTGCCACGTGACATGCTTTCTCGTGCCAGAAACCAGCTTGCAACCAATCCGTATTGATTACCTTCCCAATTCCCCGCGGTATGTCTTGCGTGGAACTGCCAGGTCACTCATCTCGAGATTCTCATCCTGGAATAGCTGCAGCGAATATGACGACTACAGTACACTGTGAACTTTTACAACTGTAGAAAATAATGTGACAGTCTGGTCTCTTCCTGATTGATCCCTAGAAAGAGGCGTCCTTCCAAAGATCTGTTTTTCATTTTCCGCATCACTGAGATCTCCGTTTATGCAGGACGGCATTTCCACTGCTTCAGTTCTAGGCCATCTTCGCGGCTTCCCTCCTTCCTACTCACCTTCCATACCACCGCTTCACCTTCTCGTCCCTTCCACCCGCTTCGCCTCATCACATCCTTCCTCTACAACTCCATCCCCGCTAAAATGGCCTTCCTGAAGAATGCGATCCCTCTTGCCCGCCGAGCCCTGTCCTCCGCGGCGGGCTCGGCACAGCCTCGGAAGGTGGCGGTTCTGGGTGCTGGCGGCGGCATCGGGCAGCCACTGAGTCTTCTGATGAAGTCGAGCCCGCTTGTAACGGATCTGTCACTGTACGATGTGGCGGGTACTCACGGTGTGGCTGCTGACATCAGCCACATCTGCTCCAACGCCAAGGTCGGCAAATAGATCGCCACCTGTATTAATATTGATTGTTACTAAAGCTTTTTCCTTTCCCTGCTGGTCAGAGCAACCTCTTTAATTCACAAGATTCACCTGTGTTTTGACTTGGTGTTTTCATGAACTATGGAAAAAGGTTAGATCGATGCCCTTACCCTTCTCGCCGTAGAAGCCACAATGGAACCTCTAACTCGTTGTACTCGTTATAATCTCATCCCGACTAACAGGCGAAGGGTTATCTCGGCTCCGACGAGCTTGCCGGCGCTCTGGAGGGCAGTGATCTGGTGCTGATCCCCGCCGGCGTGCCACGTAAGCCGGGCATGACGCGGCAAGACCTGTTCAACATCAACGCGGGCATCGTCAAGGGGCTGTGCGAAGCCATCTCCAAGCACTGCCCCACGGTATGATCTAGGTGCATTTTGAGCCCACTCGGTAATTGTGTTAGTGAGTAGTAAGCCGTGGATCGTGAAGGGGGTGTGCGAAGCCATCTCGAAGCACTGCTCCACGTTAAGATTTAGGTGTGGTTGGAATCGCATTTACGTCCGGTAAGATCTAGGCTGCTAGTTTTGAGGCGCCTCAGAACTGGAATCGCATTATCGTCCGGTAAGATCTAGGCTGCTCGGAGTCGCTGAGATAGTGAGCCGGCATCGTGAAGGGTCTGTGCGAAGCCACCTCCAAGCACACAGATCTTTGTGCATTTTGGGCCTCCTTGGAACTCGACTCCTTTAAAGTCGATAAGTGTACTTTGAACGAGTCAGCAGTAAGCCATGGTTCGCCGTCGATGCCACCTTCGAGCTCTGCCCTACGTTAAGGTCCAGATGTGGTCCGAGTCGCACTAAGCCGAGTGATTTACATATGTGTACCGGTACGGTGAACG